TGAACGGTCTATTGTTATGATTTATTATAATATGGATATCGGAAGTGTAGGCGAGCTACTCCCTCTTGTGAGGCAAACCAACGCCTTGGGGTATTGGTCGAGCAAAAAATCCTAGATCCTAAATCCGTTTCATTTTTTGTTATTTATTTCGAGCGAGCCATCTGTCATTGTTATTATTATGTACCTTGCTCCGGCATTTAGTCCTCTAATATCTTACCAATACCACTACCAATTCTAATTCCATTTGAAGTGCATTTATTTGTCAAACAACAATTGTTGTCAAATGGGAAAGAGGATTGCAATTGATACGCACGATAAATTCGTCAACAGAGACCAGCTCATAGCTTGGACTTCACGATGAGTTGGTAAGGACCCGGATAATGTACACAAACAATGGCTCTAGTGTCTACATAACCCCGGCGAGACTTGGCTCGGTTAAGGGCTCTTCGAGTACTTGGCACGTAGAACCCTACGCAAGCTTCCCGGACTCTGTATCGTCCAATTACCAACTGGGCGCGTATCTTCATGGGGGGTCTCTACGCAATTGTTGTGTTTCAACCATTGTTATCGCGGTGTGTGATTGGATCCATTGTTTTTGTTCGTTATAGGGAGGATTACTCCTTTATACGTGTCGATTTTGCTTTTGCGCTAATTTAGGCATCATCCGGGAATAATTCTAGTCATTAAGATTTTTCAGAGTTATGATATCGATCTTTTGTTCTGCTTAATTGTCAATTGTCTATAGATTTAAATTGGCGCTTGCTTTTTCAAAATTTTTTGTGGCATTAAAAATTTTCTGATTTGGTTGATTAAACTAAAAACCAATATTGGATAAGCTTCTAAGTCAAAAAAATTGATTTTTATTTTAGAACTTATCTTCTCAAACTTAACTCTCCTGTAAAGAGACGATTCAGCGATCATACGCCATCTGTCGAAAATTTTTAATACTACTTTTGCCATGTTTCTTTCTCCAAACATTTCTTGTCTTGATTTTAATATTTTTTGCCAAAAAGTTTGAAAATCAATTTTCCATTTAAAATTGAAAACAATTAAAAGCACTAAATCACAACTTTTTATCACAATTAACTTTAGCTTCACGCCAAAAAAAAATTAAAAACAAATTTAAACTCAGATTGAGATATAAGAATAAAAATAATGAGTTGACAAAAAACGGAAAGCGGGTAAAAAATTTAACCTAAAACTCAGCAAAATAAATCTCAGTGTTTCGTCGTTATTATAATCATTATTTCTCTGTTATCATTACAATTTTACTTAGCATTTCAAACGCAAGTTTCTTTCATTCTCAAGAAATAAAACCTCGGAAAACTTTATCTCGCGAATTAAGATATAAAACTGGATCCTTGGAAAGAAACCAAACGGAAAAACATTTTTCTCCGGCGTCTAAATGCCGGGTTTACTTCAAAGCTTGTTATCCAGTCTCATACCGGGACTGTCAACCGAGAATTTTCTTATTCTCCACCCCACACCCCAACTCAACTCGCCCTTCCGAGCAAACAAAAAATAAACTAAAGCTACCCAACAATTCTTTTAAAATTTTTTTAACTTTTTCCAAGCAATACTTTTCCAAAAATATATTTTAAATTATAATTATAATTTATTCATTACATAAATTGAAACCGGAATTTCATATAATTTTGAATTTACAATTTACAAGCCGGAACGAGTAAAAGTAAGACGAGGTCATTAACATGCCAACTTGGGTGCCAAATTTGTTAAGCTCATCAACTCTGCAGCAACATTTTGAATATTCATAAGCTGCTGAAATTCACGGTGACTACTCTGCTTATTTCCAAGTTCATCTCCATCAAATATATATTCATAATAATAACCATAACTATTTTTCACTACAGACATTACATATATATATATATACAGACACCGTTGAAGACTTAGTAAGTGATTCATTGAGCTAGATCGAAGTAAAATAGCAAATACAGTGTTGTTATAAGTTGTGAAGGCATTATTGAATCCGAAAGAATGAAACAAATATCGGGTGATATATCATTTTTGATATTTTTAATGTCCCGCTTGCTAACGTTGTATAACGACCATCTTAATCATTTGTTGCGGACAGGAGAAAAGAGTAAGGTAGGTAACATTTCTATATATATTTATAAATATATATGTGTGTAAGGTGAGTATATATAGTGCCCCTCGAGTTGGCTAATGAGCTCAGTGCAAAGCAAACAGACGCCCATGTACAAAGGAAGGAAATAGTAAAGAAACTAGAAAAAGCCAAGGGAATAAAAGCACGTCTACTACAGAGGACCCTCGCTTACAACTCTTACAATACCTCTGCATCTCAGACTATCTTTTTTTATTCACAGTTTTTTTTTACTTTTTTACAAGATCCGCGATTCTGGGAAACGAATCCATCTACCTGCTCAATTCGTCACGCGAGTGAGCTTTGATAATTATTGATATTGGATTTTAATTTGAGAATTTAGACTGAAATTAGTGCAAAGATAATTTTATATAAATAAAAAAAATGAATTTATACCGATGTAATCTAATCGCAGCAATTTGAAAAAGTTGTTTCACCATGAAATTGTTTCGCGCTCGTGGGAAAGATAGCAATCCACTATTCAATGTCCTACTAGTAGACAAAATCGAAAATGTATTTTTCCACCGTATATTTCATTTATAACAGGACAACGGCAAGTTAATACATAAATTTTGTTATTTATGTTTTATTTTTTAAACTACACTTTTTTACGAGTTTTATTATTTTTTTTTTTCAATTCGTCAGCGAACGTCGGCAGTCGAAAAACAGAGCAGAGCACTCAAGGATGCAACTTTTCCATCGGTACCCCGCCGTAGGCTAAAAATCGTCAAGTTGGGAATCCCTCTTTGTCCCTCTCACTCTTTTCACTCTACTCGGCTATTTAGTTTTTTTTTTTTTTTTTTCATTTTTTCGCTTTTGTATCCATAGATATAAATATATACAGTTGAAATAGAGTATCTTCTCGATGAGAGCCGAGACATCTGTCGTGTGTCGTGATTTAACACTTTTATTCTTCCGGCAAAATAAAATAACGATACAGAAAAAAAATATATATAAATTCGACACTACACGTTATACCTTGACAAACTTTTAGTAATTATACGAATGAGAATATTGAAAAGGAAAAAAATAAGTAAATACAAATTAGGAAGCTGAAGCTCAAGTGTAAAACTGCAAAGTAATTATCAAAGCGCTTAAAATGTTTGGGTAAGTTAAAAATGCTTTGTTTGGCGAACGCATGATGGATGAGTGATTATCTAATTATTAGCGATTTACCAGTACAAAGGAGAAACTCATCTTGGTTTCTGAAGGGCGTACCTACTCACGAGCACGTCCGAGACACCAGTTCCCAACTTGAGCAATCATTCGGTCCAGTGCTTCACAAAGAGAATCCGCGGACCATTATGATCTCTCGAGCGCGTGTTATGTGCTTTAACATCGGCTTTTAACATTAATATACAACTTTTAAATTGTTAATTTATTATTTATTAAGATCAACACACTCATTTCCTCCGTCTTCATTCTCGGTCTTTCTGCTCTGCTCTCTTTACAAGTAATGCTCATTGCTAATTTTATGGAGCAATATATATAAGTATACGACTTGAGCTTCGAGCTACAATAATAATATCTTGTGCTCCAATGCTGGTGGATGAAAAATTTTTAAATATACACTTGACACCGCAGCTTATGTTATATATTACCACCTAGTAAATGATATTTTTTGTAGTTAATGATGTCATATATAACGCTTACATTTTTATATTTTTCATTTAATTTCGATTTAGGATGTCTTCCTGTTAGTGCAATAAAATTACGCGGTGAGCCCAAGTTGAAATATCCAAGCTTATTGTATTTTGCTTAAAGACCATAACTTATTTAATGAGCTATTCGTGTTTTCATCCTGATAATAGCGTATAGGTACTGAAACGTAGATGACTCAATCTTTTAGACGAACATGTGATTACTTGCAGAATTAACATCCTTGTTTTTAAAACTTATTTCTTGTATATTATAATTGAATAGTATCAGAAGTTTATTATATTAATTAACAACTATTACGATAATATGAAATTTTTACTAAATTCTTTGAATAAAAATTTACTTGTAAAATAATTATTAGCCTATAAATCGAAAAAATTTTTTCACGCTTATATATCTTAACGCCAATAAAAATTAACTTAATTCGAGAGAAAAAAAAATCTTGAACTAAGAATATATATTATTTAAAATAAAATTTTGTTGATTGAATAAAAATGTTTTTGGCTTGATAAGAAATGAATGACTAAAGTTAATGTTTATCAGTATGTAAGTTTAATTTGACGAATAAAAGTCATTAACTAAATTGACTCATTGTGTCAATCAGGTAAAGTCCTTTAGTCGTTTTTTTTTTTAGATGAAAAAAGTAATAAAGCGCAACAAACACCTTGAAAGATTACCGATAAGTTATCGATTTAATTAATCTGGAGCCGGGTGTACAAAAATGATGTAAAAGTGTATAAGTGACGAGAGAAAAGAAGAAAGGGGTGCTCGGTACGGATTATGGGATGTATGAGAAGCGTAAACGAAGAGGACAATCGTGACTGATTGTGGTTGCGGGAATCTTGGCGTGTAACACCAGAAATTCTCGACGTTTCCCTGCTGTTCGGTGGCACGGCCCGACCAGTAACCAGAACAGAGCTCTTCAACTCCTACACCAGCAGTAATAATTTCCATGGTCTTACGAACCACAATACGTTCTATTTATCATTATCGCATATATGTGTAACTACACTTGTTTTTTTTTTTTTTTATAAATATAAAGATATATAGTTATCAATAGTAGTTAATGCAAATACGTATTACGTGGATTTTATAGCCGATAGTTAATGTCTAGCATAACTCAAGCTCTTATTTAGTATTCGTTAAAGATAATTTATAAGTTATAGACAAGTAGGTCGGAGTCGGTTGCTGGATGATTGAAATCCCGGAATAGAAAATGAACCGAGATAAAACAGTATACGTGTGTATGTGTGTGTATGAGAGTATTAATATGAGGCATAAAAAATCTAAATAATAAAAAATGGTAAAAAAATGAACGTGATTGCTCGTGTGGTGAGTTGAGGTAAAGAATGAAAGAGAAAGAAGCGAAAAGTTGATTACTAGTCTGGTGCACGCCATTGGCGTTAAGAGTAAAAGGGTACATAATATAAGCGTAGTATATTCAAAACAGCGTAATGCCCGCGTAGATCTGCCTTAGGCAGAGCCAGCTTTGACCTTTGTGCTCAAAGTCCGATGCAGCTATATTATATAGTATGTACGCAACTAACTGTTGTCGCACAACAAAAGCCTCTGGCTCGAGTTTGGTTTTCCGACTGCCACGGGATACATTTTTTTTGTTTTATTTTAATAAATATTAGCATCAACGAGGTTTTCTAAATAAAATAGTGCCTTTGGAAAAAAAATTTTAATTTAATTATTTACCGGACAGTATTGAATTACTTTAGACCCTGTTTAGGCTAAAATTTTTTTATTAACTGCGAGTTTTTTTTGCACTGGATTTTTTTAAATATAATTTAACACGAGTTGATAATCACAGAACTCACATGGCTAGAGTACTTAAGAGACAATATGAAAATGACAATGACAAATGATATATTGTACTACTAAATATAAGTGCTTCGTTTGATAAGAATTTGTTAACAGTAAATGTCTCATGATTGATCAACCAAAAATATTCTGTGGCTCATGTTAATAGTTACCACAATCTCATTGATACAAATATCGAATGCGTCACGATAAATGTCGTAACTAAAGAATAGCTGGAGAGATTATTACAGAAGATAACGTAATTATCGATTAAGCGAAACTGAAAAATGGAAAATAAAGTGGAAATTATGGTTCACTTTATTAGTAGTGATTATTATATTAGTGATATTTTTATGGCCACGAAAAACGGAAAAAATTAATAATCCTGAAAATAAAGTAATAACTCCTGAACAATTGAATAGCTTGTTGGAGGAAGATGATACACTTATTGAGTTACAAGAAGGAATAGCGTCTGGAAGACAAAAATTAGAAGATCTGACGAACGATATACGTGTAAAAGAAGAACAACTAAGGACTCTGAAATCCAAAATAGTGGAAAAAAACTATGAACTAAAGGAAAAAAATGATGAATGCACTCGCCTGGCCAATCTTATATCAGAAAAGAAACAAACGGGTAAGCCGGTGGATGTACAAATGGAGGAAAAAATGGAAGAATGTACTCGTCTTGACGGTCAAATTTTAGAGAAAACCAAAATCAATGACGATCTCGATTTCCAAATTAAAACCAAAGCTGAGAAACGTAATCTCGTTGACCGTGAAATAACCGTGAAAAACCAAAAAAACAAAGATCGGGATTCTGAAATGAACGAAAAATCTCAAGAAATCGGTCGCCTAGGAAAACTTATAACGGAAAAAATACAAACAACTCAAATAAAAGACATACAGATAAAGGAGAAAGATGATGATTATTGATTACAATCGTCTTAACGGTCTAATTTCAGAAAAAACCAAAATGAATGATCTCGATTTCCACATTAAAACCAAAGCTGGGAATCGTGATCTTCTTGACCGTGAAATAACCGCAAAAATCCGAAAAAATGAAGATCTAGATTCTCAAATGAACGAAAAATCTTACGAAGTTGATCGCCTCGGAAAACTTATAGCGAAAAAAATAGAAACAACTAAAACCATTGACATACAAATACAGGAAAAAAATGATGACTTCAATCGTCTTAACGGTCTAATTTCAGAAAAAACCAAAATGAATGACGATCTCGATTCCCAAATTAAAAATAAAGCTGATAAACGTGATCTTCTTGACCGTGAAATATCCGTAAAAAACCAAAAAAACAAAGATCTAGATTCTCAAATGAACGAAAAAACTAAAGAAATTGATCGCCTTGGAAAACTCATAGCGGAAAAAATACAAACAACTAAAATCATAGACATACAAATACAGGAGAAAAATAATGATTGCAATCGTCTTAACGGTCTAATTTCAGAGAAAACTAAAATGATGGATGATCTAAATTTCAGAATTAAGAAAAAAACCGATAAACATGATCTTCTCGAAAATGATGTATTGGAAAAAACTCAAACAATCAAAGACTTGCATTCCCAAATACTAGAAAGAACTGAAAAATGGAATCGTCTTAACGATCTTATGACTGAAATGATGAAAACGCGTGAAAATATAGACTTACAAATAAAAAGGAAAAATGCGGAATGCACTCGCCTTGATGATCAGATTTTCACGAAAACTCAAACAGTGTACGATCTACATTCTCAAATAAAAACCAAAACTGAGAAACGTGATCTTCTTGACCGCGAAATATCCGTGAAAACTCAAAAAAATGAGGATTTATTTATTTATTTATTTATTTATTGTATGCCAAGGCCAGAGCCGAATGGCAAGAATACAAAACAGTGGACATATATTTACATGAATATATAACTAATATTTAATTTACTTCGTAAGTAATTAAAAACATAACAATTTAAAAATTTATAAATTTATAAATTTACAAATTTACAAATCTACTCTTAACAATGTTTACAAGATTTACAACTCCTACTAATTCCTGCAAGTTACAAATTATTTATAACCAAATTCACGTCTTTACCACCAGCTTCAAGATCCAAAAGGTAATTTAGCATTTTGAGTTTAAAACTCCCTATTGATAAAGAGCTTATGACATCCAGCGGAAGTTCCTGCCATAGGCGTTTAGCTGACACTACGAATGAGCGTTCAAAGACAACAGAATGGAAATTAGGAATTCTGAAGATAATATTATTATTTTTCTGAGCAAGTCTATCCGAACGCCTAACACTTTCATCTTCATCACAGAACAGTTTTCGCAGATATTTTGGTTCTCCAGTCTGCAATAACTTGTAAAAATAACATGCCAGACTATAAATCCTATGCATCCTGATACTGAGCCATCTTAAATCTTGACGATAGGGCGTGATATGCTCATCCCGCTTAAGATTAAAGATGAATCTTATTGTACTATTTAGTATGCGTTGTAATTTGATATCAAGTCCTTTTGATGAGTCTAACAATACAAGAAAGCAATAATTAATTATCGGTAGGATGGTAGTAGTGACAAGTAGCTTGCGACAAGATTTAGATAAGATATTTTTCCTATACTTCAAGCTGTTTAACGCAGCATAGGCCTTCCTAGAGATTTGCGAAGTATGAGCATTCCATGAGAGGTTATTCGATAGTTCGATGCCTAGATGTTTAGTGGTATCGACATAAGGTATGACATTACCATCAACAATGATTGGTGGTAGGTCAAAATCATCAAGTAAATTCAGTTTTCCTTTGCTGCCTAGGATCATGACCTTATTTTTATTGAAGTTTAATTGTAGATCATTTTCAGGAGCCCAGTCTGCCACACTTTGAGCATCGACAGTAAGTTTGTCTGCAGCCTCATACAACTCAAAAGATTTGAAATGGATATAAGCCCACAAATCATCCGCAAATAAACCGTATTTACAATGTTGCAATCGCCTCGTCACTCCATTTATAGCAATCAAGAAAAGAATAGGGCCCAAGATCGATCCCTGTGGAACCCCCGACGTAGTAAATGAAGGTCTTGAAGGAGTATTCGAGGCATCAATAATCGACTGAGATCCATCCGTGAGGTAGGACTGGAACCACAAAATTGATTCAATGGAAAAACCCATTTCAAATAACGTCGTAAGTAGCACTTTATGGTTCAAATGATCAAAGGCTTTAGTGAAGTCAAAAAGAACAAGAAATGTTAGATCATCATTATCGATGGCATGACGAAAATCGTCAGTTAATCTAAGCAATGCAGCCTGGGTGCTATGATGCTTACGAAAACCAGATTGATGCTCATTCAAAAGGTTGTTTGTTTCAAGATAATCTACAACTTGATTTGCAACACACCGTTCAAAGACTTTGGCGACATGTGACAGATTAGCTATCGGCCTAGTATCCGACATAGTTTTTGGCGGGGTTACCTTGTTTAATGGGATAACATAAACATACTTCCAAGCATCAGGAAAAACACCTGAATCCAGTGAACGGTTAAATAAGGCAGTCAGAAAGAGAGTAATCTGCGACAGATGATCCTTCAACCACTTAAGATCCAGCTCGTCCGGACTGTTACCTTTAGATTTTGATAACGTTAGCTGGAGATTTTTTGTCACATCAACAATATCTAACTTTGACCAGTTGAAGACACAATTTACTTGTTTCGTATGATGATTGGGTAGATCAAAGACGAAATTTTTGTCACATGACGGGTATTTGGTAACAGTACTAGCGTAGAAATTATTCAGTAAATTCGCATCAAAGTGATCCAGTGGTGAAGACTGCCTAGGTTTAATAATTCCTAGCTTTTTCAGCTTGGACCAAATGTCAGAGCCCTGAGCACTTTCCTCTAAAACATTTTTAAAATAATTATCACGTGCATCACATATCTTAATTTTTAATTCGCTTCTTAGTTTTTTATATAAGGATAAGAGATTTAAATTCCCCGTTCTGCGAGCTTGCTTATAAATAGTATCACGATTATGTAACTCCAGCTTGAGGTCTTTCGTCAGCCACGGTGTTTTTTGACGATATAGTTTTCTCTCCGTAAACGGCGCAAATTCATTTAATGAATATGGTGCGACATATCATCAAAATGGAGTACTACTCCATTTTGATGATATGTCGCACCATAGGGTACACAATATAGAGCTGAATCAGTAATGAATGACTTGAGATGTTGCGATGATTTATCACTCTTTAATAAATTTGAATTTAGATCTCCCGTGATAATAACATTTCTATAATGTGGATAGAATTTATTAAATTCAATAAAGAAATTATTTAGTGGCTCACCTTGAAGCCTTCTATAGATGGACGACAAAAGAATGTGTGATCCGACTGCTGGAGAGATGTCTATTATCAGGATGATTTTTATGCTGAGAAACTGACGAATAGAGGACCTGTGACTTCAATGATTTGTGAATGAAACAGGCCACACCACCACCTCTGATAAAACGTCCGGCATCATCAATGAGTGCTCTATCACGACGAATGACAGTGTAATTATCAAAAGATATTTTGACATCTGGATTTAACCAAGTTTCTACTAGTGTAATTATATGCGGTTTAATGTCCGCAATTAATAATTCGAATGCAGATTTAAAACTGGATAAAGTAGAGTGATATCTACTTGAATTTCGACTTGAGCCTATAGATTTTACACTGAACAGAGCAGAGCGATTTCTGCTTGAGGTTGATAAAGCAAGACTAGCTAGCCTAATAATACTGGAGTGAGAATCAGATGGTGATTTAATCGAAGCAATAGATTTCACACAGCAAAAAGTGGGAGGTTTATTTTTTAGCACCTCTTTGAGACAACTCGGATGATAGCTACTATTGCAGGTAATGCACGTTTTGTAAGTTTTGGCAAGGCTTTTACATCTAGCGCAATTCATAACAATAACAAGTCTTTGTTATAATATAGATGGTGACATCTATAAGTTACAACCAAAGATAATTAGTTAGTTGAGTGATAGTAAACGGCGTAGAATGACTGACGTCCTATTTCACACAACACTAAAATCCCGTCACTTTTACATTTATGATAACCTCCAAATATTAGGTCACCAAATTATGAAAATTAATATCTCAGCTTGTAAGTAATTAAACTCGAAGATTTTTAGCAACCTATGAAGGTTGCAATAAGGCGCAAGCAACAAGATCTGCAACAAAAATTGCCCGTGGACATAAAAGGCAGTAAAACGTTCTTATAACGGAGCGGCAAAAATTTACGTGACAGTAGTACTTACGTAAAGTAGTCATTTCGATTCTCAAATAAACGAAAAATCTAAAGAAATTGATCGGCTCGGAAATCTCATAACAGAAAAAATACAAACAACTAAAACTATAGACGTACAGATACAAGAGAAAAATAATGAAGACGATCGTCTTGACGATCAGATTTCAAGTAAAACTAAAATAATCGATGATCTAGATTCCCAAATTAAGAAAGAAATTGCGGAACTCGATCGTCTTCTCCAGGAAATATCGTCAAATAGACTAATCCTGAATTCGGAAATTAAGAAAAAAACGGATGAACGTAATCGTCTTGTCGATGCAATATCGGAAAAAATGCAAGCAACTCAAAACTTAGGCTTTCAAATATCAGAAAAGCAAATTAAGTTCACTCGTCTTAACGATCAGATGTTGGAGATATTATCTACAAGTAACAGCCTAGACTCTAAAATAATTAGGAAAATTGATAAATGTACTCGCCTTGATGGTGATATAAACGATAAGCTCGAAGTATTGAAAAGGCTGAACCATTCAATTAATACGAAGCTTCAGCAAACAACATCAGCAGATGTGACGAAATTATTCAATATAAAAACAAAACTGGGTGACTTATTTCCTTTTACTCCCAGTTTTAGCTCTCATGACGAGAGGAATGTAGATTATTACATTCGTTCTCTGGAATCTTCACCGTACTACAGAATTTCTAATTTTGATGGAATGAAAAATTTATGTGAACGGGGCATTAAAATTATCCGTTTCGTCAACGAAGACAATGCAAAAGGTTTAAAGTACCAAAAATTTGTCGATTTTATAGCACAAGAGGTGACGGACAACAGAACCACGATGATCGATGAAGATTCTATTATTTCATTGACTACATTTCTATCAATGTACATGCTTGTGTATTCAGAGATTCTGCCTGACAAATTAAGGTATCATAACAGAATAATCGAACTGATTCCGAGGATTCCATCGATTCCCATTCCGGAACTTACAAGCGGCAACTCAAAGAAAGAATACAGTGCCATTCTTAATTTATCGACACCGCGATTATTGTCTAGTTACATGAACAATTTTAATGATTACATCTATGATATAAATAGCATTGCACTATCTAAATTCAATTCCAAGATAAATTCCGTTGATGGTGTCGCATTCAGCGACCATATTCGACAAGATTCGTCAGCCTTTGCTGTACACTCTGAACGACACGTTCCCTATGTCAATTACAGTATTTACCTTAAAAAAGTCGTCGAAGAAATGAAATTTCCCGACTTATACGCGTCAGTATACTCAGTGCTTGACATACCCGGTAATTTCTATGACTCCGTGAAAAGGATAGTAACAACGATAATGCATCCGACAATCAAAGTATTACAGCATGGTTTAAACAGTTCTAAGGGCGACATTACGTCCGAGTTTAACTGGTTGGATGTAAAAGGCAAAATCGGTTGCTATTTGATACCTTCCATTGGATTCGGAATATTCAAAACCAATCAGTTCATGTTTTCCTTGCGGATTCCAATGCATAATATACCATTGAGTGTACTGTCTGTTTGTAACTCTGCAGAACTACGCCAATGTAATAAATTTGTAACTAGTATATTAAATTTACGAAAGATTTACAAGACTGGTGAGACGTATTCTGATTATAAAACATGGAATGATATCTGCAAAGAAACTGGGTTACTCATTTATGGAGGCTTCCCCATGAATACGTTCGATGAATATGTGTACAGTAACATTGGACACAAAACTTTTCGCACAAACTACGTTGGACAATTAGAAAAAAACGATCAAGTCTTGTTTTGGAAAAGATCTAATGAGGCTATCTGCCGCAGCGAAAAAGAAGGAACTACCTATACGGTCACCGAAGTTGGAATGTTTACAACTGAAGGGTTGGAAGCTATATACGAATTCTCGACCAACAGATCGGCTGGCACTTTGAAATTCAATTATAAAAACGACGCGCAAAGTAAATGCCTTGTTAATAACCTTAAAAATTGTAACCAAAGAAATGACGTGATCGAAATTCGTTTGAATAAAGATCATATAGCTAGTTTCAAATGGTTTATGCCTACCAACCATACCCAAAAATCGCATGACTTACAATTTTCAAATGGAACGCAGACATTTACGTACAATTACCATAATTACAAAATTGAAAACATGGATTTCGACGAAACAAGTTTCACCGTAAAATGCAACAATAAGGTTATACTGATCGGAAATAATTCTCCGCGACTTAAAGAAATCATTCGCTATGACGGTACTGATTATCACCGGGATCCTGAAACAATGATGTATCAGAAAAATTGAGAATTGACAGATCATAATGAAGAGTAAATTTTAAAAATGATTTATTTAAACTATTGAATTTATTTTTTTATCTTGCACTATAAAAACAGGAAGACTAATAAATCCAGTGAAAATGTCCTTTGATTATTATATCACCTCAATTTGGAAGTCCCGGTTCATCTACTCGTGAAAATGAAGGCTGTACAAGCAAAAATCAAAAAAAGTCGAAACAAACAAAATATTTAGGGACGCTTAACGGATCAGTCCACCCTTTTAGTGCGGTGACATATTTTTCAATGGTTTTTTTCTTCAGTTAATTATTGCGGAATTCAATTGGCTGACGTTCTTTTATGACTATAAGTAACTAAGAATGTCAAATAATTAATTGGACTCGTACATAAAACATATTTCTTAGATTCTATTATTTCATTGACTACATTTCTATCAATGTACATGCTTGTGTATTCAGAGATTCTGCCTGACAAATTAAGGTATCATAACAGAATAATCGAACTGATTCCGAGGATTCCATCGATTCCCATTCCGGAACTTACAAGCGGCAACTCAAAGAAAGAATACAGTGCCATTCTTAATTTATCGACACCGCGATTATTGTCTAGTTACATGAACAATTTTAATGATTACATCTATGATATAAATAGCATTGCACTATCTAAATTCAATTCCAAGATAAATTCCGTTGATGGTGTCGCATTCAGCGACCATATTCGACAAGATTCGTCAGCCTTTGCTGTACACTCTGAACGACACGTTCCCTATGTCAATTACAGTATTTACCTTAAAAAAGTCGTCGAAGAAATGAAATTTCCCGACTTATACGCGTCAGTATACTCAGTGCTTGACATACCCGGTAATTTCTATGACTCCGTGAAAAGGATAGTAACAACGATAATGCATCCGACAATCAAAGTATTACAGCATGGTTTAAACAGTTCTAAGGGCGACATTACGTCCGAGTTTAACTGGTTGGATGTAAAAGGCAAAATCGGTTGCTATTTGATACCTTCCATTGGATTCGGAATATTCAAAACCAATCAGTTCATGTTTTCCTTGCGGATTCCAATGCATAATATACCATTGAGTGTACTGTCTGTTTGTAACTCTGCAGAACTACGCCAATGTAATAAATTTGTAACTAGTATATTAAATTTACGAAAGATTTACAAGACTGGTGAGACGTATTCTGATTATAAAACATGGAATGATATCTGCAAAGAAACTGGGTTACTCATTTATGGAGGCTTCCCCATGAATACGTTCGATGAATATGTGTACAGTAACATTGGACACAAAACTTTTCGCACAAACTACGTTGGACAATTAGAAAAAAACGATCAAGTCTTGTTTTGGAAAAGATCTAATGAGGCTATCTGCCGCAGCGAAAAAGAAGGAACTACCTATACGGTCACCGAAGTTGGAATGTTTACAACTGAAGGGTTGGAAGCTATATACGAATTCTCGACCAACAGATCGGCTGGCACTTTGAAATTCAATTATAAAAACGACGCGCAAAGTAAATGCCTTGTTAATAACCTTAAAAATTGTAACCAAAGAAATGACGTGATCGAAATTCGTTTGAATAAAGATCATATAGCTAGTTTCAAATGGTTTATGCCTACCAACCATACCCAAAAATCGCATGACTTACAATTTTCAAATGGAACGCAGACATTTACGTACAATTACCATAATTACAAAATTGAAAACATGGATTTCGACGAAACAAGTTTCACCGTAAAATGCAACAATAAGGTTATACTGATCGGAAATAATTCTCCGCGACTTAAAGAAATCATTCGCTATGACGGTACTGATTATCACCGGGATCCTGAAACAATGATGTATCAGAAAAATTGAGAATTGACAGATCATAATGAAGAGTAAATTTTAAAAATGATTTATTTAAACTATTGAATTTATTTTTTTATCTTGCACTATAAAAACAGGAAGACTAATAAATCCAGTGAAAATGTCCTTTGATTATTATATCACCTCAATTTGGAAGTCCCGGTTCATCTACTCGTGAAAATGAAGGCTGTACAAGCAAAAATCAAAAAAAGTCGAAACAAACAAAATATTTAGGGACGCTTAACGGATCAGTCCACCCTTTTAGTGCGGTGACATATTTTTCAATGGTTTTTTTCTTCAGTTAATTATTGCGGAATTCAATTGGCTGACGTTCTTTTATGACTATAAGTAACTAAGAATGTCAAATAATTAATGCCTACCAACCATACCCAAAAATCGCATGACTTACAATTTTCAAATGGAACGCAGACATTTACGTACAATTACCATAATTACAAAATTGAAAACATGGATTTCGACGAAACAAGTTTCACCGTAAAATGCAACAATAAGGTTATACTGATCGGAAATAATTCTCCGCGACTTAAAGAAATCATTCGCTATGACGGTACTGATTATCACCGGGATCCTGAAACAATGATGTATCAGAAAAATTGAGAATTGACAGATCATAATGAAGAGTAAATTTTAAAAATGATTTATTTAAACTATTGAATTTATTTTTTTATCTTGCACTATAAAAACAGGAAGACTAATAAATCCAGTGAAAATGTCCTTTGATTATTATATCACCTCAATTTGGAAGTCCCGGTTCATCTACTCGTGAAAATGAAGGCTGTACAAGCAAAAATCAAAAAAAGTCGAAACAAACAAAATATTTAGGGACGCTTAACGGATCAGTCCACCCTTTTAGTGCGGTGACATATTTTTCAATGGTTTTTTTCTTCAGTTAATTATTGCGGAATTCAATTGGCTGACGTTCTTTTATGACTATAAGTAACTAAGAATGTCAAATAATTAATGGGACTCGTACATAAAACATATTTCTTTTGATAAGGATTTGTTTATAGTAAATGTCTCATGATTAATTGACCAAACAGATTTTGTGACTCATGATAATAATTACCACGATGGTATTGATACAGATATGTAATGCGTCACAATAACTGTCGTAACTAAAGAATAGCTGTATAAATTATTATAGAAGACAACGAAATTATCGATAAGTCGAAATTGAAAAATGAAAGATAAAGTGAAAGAAAAATCGTGCTATAGTAAATTATGGTTTACTTTATCAGTAGTGGTTATCATATTAGTGATATTTTCATGGCCACGAGAAACGGAAAAAATTGATGATCCTGAAGATGAAGTAATAATTCATGAACAATTAAAAACCTCGTTGGAGGAAGATGTTAAACTTATTGGGATACAGGAAGGAATAGCGTCTGAAAGACAAAAATTAGACGATTTGACGAAGGATATACGTGTAAAAGAAGAACATCTAAAGACTCTGAAATCCGAAATAGAGGACAAAAACTATGAAATAAAAGAAAAAACTGATGAATCTACTCGTCTCGACACCCTCATATCGGAAAAGAAACGAACGGGTAAGCCGGTAGATGTAAAAATGAAGGAGAAAACGGAAGAATATACTCGTCTTGACGGTCAAATTTTGGAGAAAATTAAGATAAGTAACGCTTTAGATTCGGAGATCAAAAATAAATCTAGTAAACGTGAATTACTCAGCAATATAATATCGCAAATGAGACAAACAAAAGAAGTCTTGGATTCTCAAATAAAAGAAATAAACGATGAATATCGTCACTTAGACGATCTTATAACGGGAAACACCCGAACAAATGAAATTATAGATATACGAATTAGGGAAAAAACTGAAAAATGTAATCGATTGGACGGTCAAATTTCGGAAAAAACTAGAATTAGTGAAGATTTAGATTCCCAAATCAAGACAAAGACGGGAGAACGTGATCTTCTTGATAGTGAAATATTAGAAAAAGTGCTAACAAATAAAGATCTAGATTTTCAAATAATCGAAAAAACTGGAGAGTCTACTCGCCTTAAAAATCTTGTAGAGGAAAAAATGCAAACAAGTAAAACTATAGACGTCCAGATACAGGAGAAAAATAATGAATATAATCGTCTTGACGATCAAATTTCAGAAAAAACCAAAATGAATGGTGATCTAGATTCCCAAATTGAAACTAAAGCTGAGAAGCGTGATATTCTTGACCGTGAAATATCAGTAAAAGTACTAACAAATATAGATCTAGATTCTCAATTAATCAAAAAAACTGGAGAGTCTACTCGCCTTAAAAATCTTGTAGAGGAAAAAATGCAAACAAGTAAAACTATAGACGTCCAGATACAGGAGAAAAATAATGAATACAATCGCCTTGACAATCAAATTTCAGAAAAAATCAAAATGAATGACGATTTAGATTCCCAAATTAAAACCAAAGCTGAGAAACGTGATCTTCTTGACCATGAAATATCGATAAAAGTACGAACAAATAATGATCTAGATTCTCAAATAATCGAGAAAACAGGAGAGTCTACTCGCCTTAAAAATCTTGTAGAGGAAAAAATGCAAACTAGTAAAACTATAGACGTCCAGATACAGGAGAAAAATAATGAATACAATCGCCTTGACAATCAAATTTCAGAAAAAATCAAAATGAATGACGATCTAGATTTCCAAATTCAAACCAAAGCTGAGGAACGTGATCTCCTTGACCGTGAAATATCATTTAAAGTACTAACAAATAAAGATCTAAATTCTCAAATAATCGAAAAAACGCAAACTCTTAAAACTATAGACGTACAGATACAGGAGAAAAATAATGAATATAATCGTCTTGACGGTCAAATTTTAGAAAAAATCAAAATGAATGACGATCTAGATTTCCAAATTCAAACCAAAGCTGAGGAACGTGATCTCCTTGACCGTGAAATATCATTTAAAGTACTAACAAATAAAGATCTAAATTCTCAAATAATCGAAAAAACGCAAACTCTTAAAACTATAGACGTACAGATACAGGAGAAAAATAATGAATATAATCGTCTTGACGGTCAAATTTTAGAAAAAATCAAAATGAATGACGATCTAGATTTCCAAATTCAAACCAAAGCTGAGGAACGTGATCTCCTTGACCGTGAAATATCATTTAAAGTACTAACAAATAAAGATCTAAATTCTCAAATAATCGAAAAAACGCAAACTCTTAAAACTATAGACGTACAGATACAGGAGAAAAATAATGAATATAATCGTCTTGACGGTCAAATTTTAGAAAAAATCAAAATGAATGACGATCTAGATTTCCAAATTCAAACCAAAGCTGAGGAACGTGATCTCCTTGACCGTGAAATATCATTTAAAGTACTAACAAATAAAGATCTAAATTCTCAAATAATCGAAAAAACGCAAACTCTTAAAACTATAGACGTACAGATACAGGAGAAAAATAATGAATATAATCGTCTTGACGGTCAAATTTTAGAAAAAATCAAAATGAATGACGATCTAGATTTCCAAATTCAAACCAAAGCTGAGGAACGTGATCTCCTTGACCGTGAAATATCATTTAAAGTACTAACAAATAAAGATCTAAATTCTCAAATAATCGAAAAAACGCAAACTCTTAAAACTATAGACGTACAGATACAGGAGAAAAATAATGAATATAATCGTCTTGACGGTCAAATTTTAGAAAAAATCAAAATGAATGACGATCTAGATTTCCAAATTCAAACCAAAGCTGAGGAACGTGATCTCCTTGACCGTGAAATATCATTTAAAGTACTAACAAATAAAGATCTAAATTCTCAAATAATCGAAAAAACGCAAACTCTTAAAACTATAGACGTACAGATACAGAAGAAAAATAATGAATACAATCGCCTTGACGATCAAATTTCAGAAAAAACCAAAATGAATGGTGATCTAGATTCCCAAATTGAAACTAAAGCTGAGAAGCGTGATATTCTTGACCGTGAAATATCGAGAAAAGTACTAACAAACATAGATCTAGATTCTCAAATAATCAAAAAAACTGGAGAGTATACTCGCCTCAAAAATCTTGTAGTGGAAAAAACGCAGGCTAGTAAAACTATAGACGTACAAATACAGAAAAAAGATAATAAATACAATCGTCTTGACGGTAAAATTTTAGAAAAAACCAAAATCAATGACGATCTAGATTCCCAAATTAAAACCAAAGCTGATAAACGTGATCTTCTTGACCGTGAAATTTCCGTAAAAACACAGGCAAATGATGATCTGGATTCTCAAATTATCGAAAAAACTAAAGAGTGTACTCGCCTCGAAAATCTTGTTTTAGAAAAGAAGCACATAAGTAAAACTGTAATCATACAAATAGAGAAAAAAAATAAGGAAGTTAGTCTCCTTGACGCTGATGTAAACAAAAAGCTCGAAGTATTGAAAATGCTCAACCATTCAATTGATACGAAGCTTCAACAAACAACATCAGCAGATTTGACGAAATTATTCGAAATAAAAGAAAAACTGCGTAGCTTAAGTTCTTTTACTCCCGATTTAAGTCTTGATGAAGAGCATGCTGTAGACGTTTATGATTCTGATGAGAACCTACCATCCCAGTACAGACCTAGCTCCAATGTCGTCGGAATGAAAAATCTATCTGAATTGGGCATTAAACTCCTCCGTAAAATCAACTCTGGCTCTATAAGCTCATCAAATAAGTACCAAAAATGTTTCAACTTTATTGTACAACAAGTGAGTAACTACGGCGGAACCACGAATATCGATGTAGATTCTATTATTTCATTGACTACATTTCTATCAATGTACATGCTTGTGTATTCAGAGGATCTGCCTGACAAATCAAGGTATCATAGCATAATAACCAAACTGATTCCGAGGATTCCATCGATTCCCATTCCGGAACTTACAAGCGGCAACTCAAAGAAAGAATACAGTGCCATTCTTAATTTATCGACACCGCGATTATTGTCTAATTACATAAACAATTTTAATGATTACATCCATGATATAAATAGCATTGCACTATCCAAGTTTAATTCCAAGATAAATTCCGTTGATGGTGTCGCATTCAGCGACCATATTCGACAAGATTCGTCAGCCTTTGCTGTACACTCTGAAAGACACGTTCCCTACGTCAATTACAGTATTTACCTTAAAAAAGTCGTCGAAGTAATGAAATTTCCCGACTTATACGCGTCAGTATACTCAGTGCTTGACATACCTGGTAATTTCTATGACTCCGTGAGAAGAATAGTAACAACGATAATGCATCCGACAATCAAAGTATTACAGCATGGTTTAAACACCACTGACGGTAAAATTAAGTTCAAATTTAAGTGGTACGTGTAAAAGGCAAAATCGGTTGCTATTTGATACCTTCCATTGGATTCGGAATATTCAAAACCGATCAGTTCATGTTTTCCTTGCGAATTCCAATGCATAATATACCATTGAGTGTACTGTCTACATGTAGCCCAGCAGAACCACGCCAATGTAACAAATTTGTCACAAGTATATTAAATTTACGAAAGATTTACAAAAAAAAAGAAAAGTATTCTAATTATAAAAAATGGGATGATATCTGCAAAGAAACTGGGTTACTCATTTATGAACGCTATCCCATGAATACGTTCGATGAACATGTGTACAGTAACATTGGTCACAAAGCTTTTCGCACAAATTACGTTGGACAATTAGAAAAAAACGACCAAGTCTTGTTTTGGAAAAGATCTAATGAGGCTATCTGCAATAAAGAACAAGACGGAAGTACCTATACGGTCACGGAAGTTGGAATGTTTACTTCTGAAGGGTTGGAAGCTATATGCGAATTCTCGACCAACACATCGGCTGGCACTTTGAAATTCAACTATAAAAACGACGCGCAAAGTAAATGCCTTGTTAAGAACCTTAAAAATTGTAACCAAAGAGATAACGTGGTCGAAATTCGTTTGAATAAAGACCAAATAGCTAGTTTCAAATGGTTTATGCCTACCAACCATACCCAAAAATCGCATGACTTACAATTTTCAAATGGAACGCAGACATTTACGTACAATTACCATAATTACAAAATTGAAAACATGGATTTCGACGAAACAAGTTTCACCGTAAAATGCAACAATGAGGTTATACTGATCGGAAATAACTCTCCGCGACTCGAAGAAATTATTCGCTATGACGGTACTGATTATCACCGGAATCCTGAAACAATGATGTATCAGAAAAATCGAAACATGACCGACCATAATGAAAAGTAAGTTTTGAAATTGATTTATTTAAATTATTGAATTTATTTTTTTATCTTTTACGATAAGAAAGGGAAGACTAATAAATCAAGTGAAAATTCCTTGTGATTATTATTTCACCTCAATTTGGAAGTCCCGGTTCTTCTACTCGTGAAGATGAAGGCTTCACAAGCAAAAATCAAAAAAAGCCGAAACAAACAAAATATTTGGGGACGCTTAACGGATCAGTCCACCCTCGCTTTAGTACGAGCGACTGCCAACCTAGCATTTTATACTGAAGATCTATGGAGTCTAGGCAATAACGTTTCGCGATAATTCTAGGGTTCTTCGTCCCGGTGGCCCGAGGCTTACGTCGATGACTTATGTTTTGGCTCAAGGTGCATTAAAACCGATCTCAACCAACTATCTCAACTACGATCGTCATCTTTACTGCTAAATATTTTTTCTTCCTCTGTCTCCCTCCTTGTTAAACGCGAGTCTAATACAATGTCACTCTGTTAAATTGCAGGTCACGTTCCCTCGATTCAACGAAAGCGCAACCTGAAAGTGATGTGATGCAAGAGAAATAAATTAACTAGAGTACACCACGGCAATAAAGATAATTAGTATTTAATCTGACTAAAGCAGCATGAGAGTATACAAAGAACGTCTCAAACTATCCGGTTGTTTTTTTCGTAATTTGTGTGTACACTGTACATGCATGGATGAAAGTCCTCGGATCTGGTGATACGTTTCTTGGATAACAGGCTCTCTGTATACGTATACACGACATCTACTGAGTCTGAATACTACCAGAGTTAGGACAGGTGCTACTGACGGCTTTGATCTTTTCTCTGTTGTGTACTACACGCGACGAACCGTTTTGCCAAAAACATTATCGAAAGCATCCTCTTTCTCTTTTTATCATCGAAATAATATTAAAGAGACGTCTTTTATTTTTGTTAACAAATTATTTTAAAACAAAATTCAAAATTATTATCAAAAAAAGTCCACAAAAAATTTTCTTATTGGTCCTCGTAACTAGTAAAATCTTAGAAACAACTGCAATAGAAAAATTTTATCGCAAATATGGGGGATTTTATTCCTAGAAAATGTAGAAATTAAAGTTTATTTCTTACGCTTTTGCATATATTCAAAAGGAATTGAATAAATTATAATATTCAATTGTTATTTTAAAAAAAAGCAGTGAAAGTACGAAATTTTAAACTAACCGAATATTAAGAATTACTCTTAAAAATTGACCACCAAACCATAATTATGATGAGAAAATAACAGGGAAGAATAATTATCAAAAGCGTAAACCTCCTCTATGAAAGAGTGGCGATGCGAATGGACCTGAGATGTCACCCGTGAATTCCCAATGGCCTTAAAAGCTGTTGACGACAAATCGAGGGTTAAAATGCTATCGGTAAACAGTGGATTCTCAACCGATGTCTATCGTTCAGCTTGTCCGGGATTAGAACCCCAATTTGAGCGTTGTCTGTTGACCCCCTCTCATTCTCAGAGCGATTCAAACCCTGACCCTTCATCCTTCATCCTTCACCCATTACTCAATCCATGCATTAGCTAAATTTAATAACCAAACAGTGGAATAGTCGAATATAGTTAAATAGATAGATAGTAACTACTAGTTACTCGTGAGAGAAAACAATATAGATGTGGATCCTTCTACTATTATTCCCATAATTATTTAAAAATTCGAAATTCAGCTTTCTGCAAATGCTTCTTTGGGTTCTCGTGCATTTAAAATTATTCTGTTCTTTAGTCTTAAGTATCGGGCACAACGTTATCCCCAATAAGACCTGGGCTGTGTGGGCAGAACCGAGATAAAGGGTTTCGCCGAAAAAATAAATAACTAAAACAAAGCATAGCCAGAACCAGAACCGAAAGAAGAACTAAACCAAACTCCAGAGTTATAGACTCTATGCTCCTGCAAGAGTGAGAGCCATCCGTTTAGTAGAAAGTGAATGAGAGATTGAGATAAATATACTTTTAGGAGTTTTGCTTTCGTGTTCACTCTGGTCTACTCATCATCATCATCATCATCATTCGTTCTTACCGGGTTCCTAAAAATCCCGTAGATCACGATAATTGTGAGAACAATGCCGCGAGGAAATTTCACGCTAACTTCTCTATCCGGGTCATCCTCGATCTTCGTTTTGAGTCCCAAGTTTTTCGATCTCCGGTTTTTAGCTACAGAAGAACAAAACTTATTGAAAATTTTCTGTCTACCACACTGATGAAAAATTAACTTGATTCAAGATCATCGAATTCTTCAAAGTGATATTCTTGGTTAAAGAATTTTCTTCTTAAATAAAATTTATTTTTTTTATCAGTGCATGTATTGTTAGCAAATCAATACCAAGTTTTTTTGTCCAAACAAAGAATATTTGCAAATGAAAAATACTGTCTTTTCGATGATGAAATATTAATCGATAACTTTCATTTAGAAATCATGATTTTGTATAAAATTTCGAAAAAATTTTTTCCCAAAATTAACTAAACGCCAAATTCCACATAACCCGTGGCAAATAGAACAACAAACAAAACCTTCCGTCTGTGCTTCCTCCTGGTAATATAATTATACATTGTAATCTATTATTAGTATACATATATACTGAATACTTATGAACGGTAGAAAAGACATGTCGATTTTGGCAATCAATTAAGTCTTTAGTTTTTCGGTAGAAGATTTTTCGGATTGGTGATTCGTGACCGCAAGCGTAACAAGTTTAGCATTCCGTGACTAACTTGACTAATTTTTGACAACTGGTAACTCAAAATTAGTGGTAAAGAGTTTATTTATACTCAACAATATTATGTATGAATTCTTTGTACCCCTCCGGCGGTGCCGAAATTCCCCGAAGGCGTTGCTCAAAGACGCCCTTAGGATACCATGTCATCAGAGGTCGTGGGAAAACCGCAAGAAATGGAAAAACTGCTATATATATATAGTTTTTTAATTTTAAAGGAGAGTTGTCTTGTTGTTCGTCCAAAACTCAACGCATCTACGATGCTACAAAAATCACGTGTAATTACGGGGTATAAAAATAACCACGGGCTACGAGTCCTTAAATCGTCGTTGCCATGGCTCATGCCTAAAAAATTACCCGAGGTTGAAACGCGAACCAATACTAAAGTTATGTGATTTACCAAACGCACCCACGTATTTTTAACGAGAGATGGATTTTTAACCCACCTCCCCACGCATTTGTGGATTTCGTTTTGTTTGGCGGTTTGGTTTGGATTTTACGAGTCCAAAAGCAGTGTCTGAGAGTTTAAAAATTGAGTGATGAAAATTATTTTTCTTTAAGAAAAATATCACATCTGCCATTTTTTATTGTTTTGATCGCATACTTTGTGGCGTATAAAACGGTGATTATGATTATGATTAGGAATATTGACGTGTAGTGGGGAGAAATATGAGAATAGTCCTGTGGGATAACCACCGAGTGATATACATATTTTACGGTGGTATTATACGATGTCGAGAAAAGACGATACGATACAAATTAGGTTATTTTGTATGCATATGTAAATATTGTGACCTAGCGTTACGAATCGAATGGTTTGATATGCACGCCCTTTATAACTGTATTTAAGCGTCATATGCATACCTAAAATAATAGAAGAGGAATGATAATAATAAAAATAATAATATTATTGATAACTATGAATGAGAATTTAGTTTCCTCGGAGTTTGGTATCTTGGATTATACGTACACGGATGATCCAGTTAACAGGATCAGGAAATTCGTGCGAACCAACAAGGGTTCATTAGATTTGTATTTTTATCTCATCCTCTGGGAAAAGGGATTTTATTAGTTAAGAACTAACTAAATTACGTATTCTTAGTTTTATTTATTATATTTTTTTTTTTCATAATTAAATTTTTTTTGTTCAATTACATAAACGACAATTCATTCCGTGGAAAATTTCGTACTATAATTTTATGAATCAATAAGTAACCGTGAAAAAAAATTTTTTATGGCCACATGTGTTATGTATGAGAAGAAAGAAATAATTTATTACTTTTTCATAAATTTGAGCGTCAATTAAAATTTTGTTTCAAACAAAAATTAGTTTATTAGTTGATTAAACTAAAAGATAATGTCAACTAAGCTCCTTAGGAAAATTAAACAAACAATTTGTATTTTAAAACTTAACTCTCTTATTAGGAGACGATTCGGCGACCATGCGCACTCTGTCGGAAATTTTCAACACTACCTTTGATTAAAATTATGTGGGCATTTAAAAAAATTTTTTTTATGGATAAATTACAATTAATTAGAAGAATTTTAACTATATGTATCCAAGTAACAAAATTTTAACACAAATAATTTATTATAGGCACAAAATGTCTAATGATAGTTGAAATCTTGTCTTTTTGATGATTTTGATGTATCCAAAAATAGAAAAAGTAAAAAAGCTACTGTGAAATATAATAGTAATAGTAATACATGAGCTTTTCTTAGCGGTAGAAAAAAATAAGGCAGTGTATGAATGTCTCCTGCCTTGAAAACTTGAAACTAAGCCAAGTGTGTTAAGATTATACTTGTACTTGATATGTGCAGCAATAGAAGGTAGTTATAGCGATACTTATAGTGATAGTTGGTACTATGAGCCAGCATGTTCTCGACTTTACGGTTAATGATTTGCAAACATCGCCCGTCGGCGTGCTTTACTCTTGTTACTGAGATGAGTTTTGAGCAAAGAAACCGTTACTCCCCAACAAGTTTTGCTGAAAAAAATTTAAAAACTCAAATGAGCCCGTCATTTATATTGTCCTATCTCATATCACAGTCTCTTTGATTTACTTCTCAGCTTTTTTTGCTAGTTACTAGTCACTGATAACAATTTCTTCGCTTGATAACTTTTTTACTTCTTCCTATTATTATAATCTTTTATTTATTAATTTCGTACGTAAGCTGCGATGCAATCGATTCCATTGTCAAGTTTTTTTGAGGCGTGCAATTTCCATCCCATCTTTGAGAATTTTTTGTCGAACGGCCGAGGGTCCGTGTGCCGATTTTTGCCCTCCTCGGGACCAATCACCACCACCAAATGCCCCGGATAGTCAGTGAGGTAGCTTTTAAATGCCTCGCTGTTATTGAAGTAGCAAAATAAAACCGCGTACTCCGCGGGAATATTTACAGGACTATTTTTCGAGGTAAATATTATCTTGTTTAAATAAAATGACGGTGAATATTTACTCTGCCACCACGATTTGTCAACTTCTATTCCAATTACGTTGCAATCTAGAAATAAAATATATTTTTTTATGATTAAAAAATTGAAATAGAAATTTGTTTAAAAGTAAAATAATTAGCAGTAAAACTTTTAATTGAATATTCGAAATAAAATAAAAAGCCAAAAGTTTTAATTGAATATTTTAGTGGAAAATAATAACTAGCTTCAGTTAGTACTTACTGAGCAATTAACTTACTTAAATATTGTTGAATAATCCATTCCAAAAGGCCAGTCCCACAACCGACACTTACAATTCCCTTACACTTAAAATTATCTAATAAATTCCGAATCCACTGCAAATCATTAAATGTCGGCCAGAACCACGAAAGCCTTTGCGCTTCATCGCACTTCACGGAACCGCTCAATTCAATTATTTTTTCATAATTTCCTTCCTCGTGTAATTTTAAAACTTTTTTTTCAAACTCACATTCCATTTTTTTTTATTTATATTTACTATCAAAATTTCTTTTAATAAATTATTAATTATTAATAAATAATATTTAACTTTTACTGCCAATTAAAAATTTTGCCAGAACGTTCGGTTGTTTTAAATGCAAATACTAATGACAATACAAGTTCAAAGTTAGGCTTTTTATAGACTGAGCTTCGGAACGTCATTAACGATTTACGTCATCGCACATAGACTATTAATAAAGCGGAAAATAAGTAAATTAAAATAATAATTATTTACATAGTGTAAAAAATTTTTAAGTCATTAACAAAAAAATAAATAAAGATAAATTTTAATAAAAAAATTGACCCTAAAGGCTATCCCTGCAACTTCCTGCTAATTCCATAGTTAAGCACTGAAAATTGCATTTATTACATTTTTGAGCTTTTCGAGCTCAAAAATTTAATTTTCGTATTATTTTGAGCTCTCCGAGCTCAAAAGTCTGGTAAAAATTTAATAAAACACTATTTTTTGAATTTTTAAACCGCAATAACTTTTAAATGAAAGAACCGATTTTCACGCGGTTGGCGGTATTTGACTTAGTTTTTTAAGTCTTATGAAGAATCTTTAAGTTTAAATTCATCGAAGTTTAAATTTCGAAGTAATTCCAAAAAAAAAAACACTTTTTTCGGTTTTCTTTCGTCAACGATAACTCACGAACGAATCAACCGATTTTGACCCGAAGTTAGCAGACGTCTAAAAATTTTGGATTTTTTTTTTTAACTAAATTACAACTAAAAAGATATTTATAAAAAATTGCACTTATAGTTTTTCAAGTTTTTAACATGTGATATTTTTTTTTTTAATTGTTTAATTGAAACTTTTTCGATAAAAAATTTCTAACAATTTTAAAATGTCAGCTACCTTCATTTTCATGGATTTTTGATGTTAAGAGCTCATTAGTTTTTGGAATCGACCAGTTGAGCCGTTTAAAAGTTATTCCAAAAAAACTACATCAGAAAAAAATTTTTTTCTTAGTTTTTTTGAGATTTCTCAAATTCTACCGGTTGGAATCGGTCCAAATTGTATTCAAAATCTAAGTTTAATGAAGCCTTTTCGAATCGCGTCAACCTCGATAAAATCGATCAAGCCGTTCAAAAGTAATGAGAGGTTTAAATACACACACATACAGTAGCGCTCGAAAGTATTTTGACTTTATGCGTTAGTTTTTTTTAACAATGTCAAAATACTTTGGAGCCACCATTTTCTTAATATTTTAAAAATTAAATTATACACATTATTTAATAAATTTGACACTATTCTGTAGATTAATCAAAAGCGGTTAAAGAAGTAAATAAGTAAAACGTAAAGTAAAACATAAATAAGTAAATAAGTAAAACCTTCTGATTTTCGAAAATTATTAATTTTCTTAGCGGGAAGTTAAAAAAAATTATTTAGGATAGTTTTATTAATCAATTTTATTACTTGTACAAAACCAGTCAATATTATCAACAATTTGTGGTATTAAGAAAAAATTATTTGCTAATTAAACAAAAATAAATATCATAAAGTAATAACCACTTAATATAAATTTTAAAGTCAATTAATCTTAAATCAATTAGTTACTCAACATAATGCGAAAAATCTAGTAAATTAATTATTAATTAATGATTATCAATTATAATTTAATTAATTTGAAGCGCGTAATGGACGTCATCGCTAGAAACGTTGAGAAAAATTCTCTGGAGGATATCGCACCTTGGCTCATCGCAAATAATCAATCTAAAGGCACTCAGTCGGTTGCAGATCCCCAGAGCCTGAGTTATATTAGGACTGGTAACACCTGAAGCATAAAAACAATTAAATTAGCACACATCAATAATTTTATAAATCTAAAGTCTAAATAAATAAATAAAAAAAGAACCTTCAAAGGAGCACAAAGCATCAAGTTGTTTATAAACATTAATAAAAGTTGTTTCTTCAACTCCAGTACGCGTGATTTCGGCGCAAACAGCCTGGAGAAAAACACGTTCCATTTCCGAGCATTGTTTGATAGCACGTACTTTAACACTGGCAATCATCTCGGTGAGCGCTTCATTTACGTGCGAAATACCCACGACTTTAGAATCCTGGTGCTCGGCAATTTCAGTCGCGCGTCTGCAAATGTCTAACGCGCGTCTGGCGTCTCCAGAAACGGCGGCTACCTTCCTGGCGACCAGCTGGATCGCGTCGCTCTTGAACGCGTCAGATTCGTTCAGCCTGGTTATCACGATCTCGTGGAGCTGCTTGAAGTTATACGGCTGGAAGGTCAGCCGCGTTAGACCCAATCTTGAGGTTACGCGACTCATCAGCACGCGCTCCGGAAGGTCCATGGTGTTCGCGATCGTGATCACGACCAACTGCGCTGTCGGCTGAGAGGGCCAGTTCAGGAGGTTGTAGACCACATCCTGTCTCTTGTTACACAGGACATCCAGCTCGTCGATCACCAGCAGGGTGATGCAATCTTTCGAGTTCTTGGAGTCTTTTCCGGTAAATCTTTTGTCTAGAGCCTTCTGGGCTTCTTCCCAAAGCGTTGTTTTGCCGGTCAATTGCTTCTGGATTTGGACGTATGCTTGTCTAGGTTCTGAAAGTTTCATTCCGTTTATTTCTACGCACTCGAATGGTGGAAGGCGGTTGTCGTGAGTTAGTTTTCTGAGACACCGGATCACTTCGTTTACTGTAGCTGTTTTTCCTGTACCTAAAATTTTATAAAAAAAATTTATTTTTCAATTAAATGTTTAATTTTAGAAATATTAAATTAATTTTTAAAAAAAATTCTTGAATACTTAAAAAAATATTTAATATATATTATTAAGAAAATAAGAAAAATTTTTTGTCCAGGATAGTCATATGATAAAAATCTCGATTTTAATTTGTGCCTTTTCAAGGTTTCATATCATTATCACCGATAGTCAATTTATTGGGATAAGTATTTAGGCTGCATTCGAAAATGCTCTATCTCTAGATACATAATTAAGAAATGACCTTGTATCTTGTGAACTATTGACATTTTTAAAGATATAAGCTCATCTCGATGTTACACTCATCGAGACCTTTCATTTGAGTACACACATCAATTTTTTATATATTTATATATATTATATATATGAATATATGAAAAATATATCAAAATACATGTGGGTACTCAAATGAAAGCTCTTGATGAGTGTAACATCGGAATGAGCTTAGATATTTAAAAATATCGATAATTCAGAAATGACCTCCTATCTTGTCAATTATTGATATTTTTAAAGATATAAGCTCATTTCGATATTTTTGAAGATATAAGCTCATCCCACTGTAATACTCATCGAGACCTTTCATTTGAGTACCCATTATCAATTTTTCATATATTTTATATATTTATATATTTCACAAATACCATATATATAAAATATATAAAAAATGCCATGTGGGTACTTAAATGAAAGGTCTCCATGAGTGTAACATCGGGATGAGCTTATACCTTTAAAAACGTCAATATTTAAAAAAGTACATTACAACTAATTATTCAATCCAAATAATATAATTTAATTTTAATCATCCTAACCTGGAACACCACTGATGTACATACACCCGCTGCTCCCATCGCTGATTTTCTTCTCTAAAAACTCAAAAATATCATTAAACTCTTGATCTCTACAGGGCAAACTCTTCGGAACCGCCGAAACATGCAATTGCGCTCGAGCTTTCTCCAAGACAGTAACAGGTTTCGCGGGTCCGGCGCTTCTGGACTTCATGGACGGTGTCAGGAACTTCAAACTCCTGGGCGTTCCTTTGGGAGTCGCTGGAGCTTTAGTCACTCCTTTCTGAGTATTTGGAGTCTTGACCGACCTTGGAGTCAACAGAGTCTTGGAGGTACGCCGAGGCGTTGACTCTTCAACGATTCTCTTCAGTCTTTTCGGAGTTGCAGGAGCTTTTTTCACCGGGGTCCTTAATTCTGTAAGCCGCGGTGTCTCAACTTCTTCCAGAGCTTTTTGAATCTCGTTGGTCGTAATCAAGCGAGCTTTGTTTTTTCCATAAGCTGGTTTCAGATCAAACATCTTCAAACTGTCGTCAGAATCACCAGACTCATTTTCTTTGTCCTCGGTGATTTTCAGACTGGAAAATCTTTCAGTAACGTTTGACGTAACAGCAGATCTAGTTTTATATTTCGGACTGACTTTCTTCTTGGGAGTGCTTTTGTCAGGAGTTACTGAGCCTCGGTACCTTAACGGTGTGTTCACATTGTTTCTCAACGACGCTCTGCGCTCGGCAATCTCACATTTGTACTGGCTCTGCTCCGTCGACCTGCGAAATTTAACAATTATGCCTGCTTCTCTCGGAGTCTTTGGATCTTCCAGTTTTTGAGATTTCGAGGGACTTTTTGCGACTAAATTTCTGCTCCGGCTTCTGGTTTCTCGGACGTTTGCATTCGTCAAATCATCGTCTGAGCTTACATAAGATGAATGTCTCTTCGGTGGCATTTTAGTTATTATTAAATAATAAATCAGTTGATAGACTAAAAACTTTTTTTCATCGGAACTTTGACGACCTTTTTTTTATTTGAGTCCAACTCGTACCTTACTGCTGGTCCTAAAAATAAAATTTGTTTATTAAATTTAAATTAAATATAAATATTTAAAGTAAAAGACCCAGTTATTGACACTGGCCTAATTATTGACATTTGCAATTTTATTTTAATTAAAAAACATAAGTCAACTTAAATAAATTAATAAATTTAATTTTTGAAATAATACTGAAGTTAGCCGTCAGCTGTTGATTTGAAAAATTTCAATAACAAATTAATTACAATAAACAAATGCTTTTTAAAATTTTCACTTGTAATTTTTTAATTATTTTTTTTTTTATAATTTCATTATTAAAAAATTCTAAAATAATTTTTAATGTCCGTCAACTTTAGTGTCATATTTTTGAATTGTAAATTTTAAAATAATTAGTTTTTTAAAAACATTTTATTTTTTTAATTAGAATAAAATTGCAAGTATCAAAAATTGAGTCTTTCTTTATTTAAACAAAATTTAAAAAAAAAATGATAATTATAAAAACAAACCAATTTTTATTTCTGGTGAGCACAAATACTCAGAATCAGAACTATCAAAGCTATCATCAAGTTTTTTTCGTTTATTATTCACGTTTTCAGGAGTTTCTTCATTCAACAGCTTATCAATCACACTTTCGTCTAACGAACTGTTTAATTTATTAAATTTACTTTTCTTTATTAATTTATTTTTATTTTCCTTCTCGGTACTTGCACAAGCACGCTCAGACATTTTTTTTCTCACTTTTTCATTGAATTACTCATTATTTTAATATTTAAAAATCTATTTTAATACTAATATAAATTTTTAACAAATTGTTTTGAGGTATATTTGTAAATCTAACAACCAACAATAACCTCAATCTTTTTCGCGGGAATGTAACTGCTTATAAATATAAAAATATATATATATATATATATAAAATAAATATACTATAGAAAATATATTTAGAATACATCAGTAGATGGTATTTGTATGAATTTCTTTGTTACCGATAAGTTTCATGAAAATGCGCTTAACATTTTGAATTTTGAATTTTGGCGCGTAAACACTGAACTGAACTCCGGTGCTAATTTTCAACTTGATGGCAGCCATTACAATAAAAAATCAAATACTTACGCTGAAATATTCTTCTTGATAAAATTATTAATTTCACAAATCACTGATCACAAAAAATTTTAAATTATAATTTTATCAGAAATAATTTGAAAAAATCTTCTCAAATAAAATTAAATTTTTACGGAGAAAAAAAATTTAAAAAATATAATGAAGATTAATAATAATAAAGTTAACCGCCATTTTTGATTTTTTTATTTTGCTTAATTTGTTTAATTATAACTAAAAAACATTTAAAAAAAATTGTATTTATAGTTTTTAAAATTTTTAACAAATTTAAAAATTTTTTTTTAATAATTTTTTAATAAAAAAAATCATAACAATTTTTAGATGTCGGCTAACTTTATATTCATTGAAAATTAAGTTAGCCGACACCTAAAAATTATTTTTTTTTTATTGGAAAAATTTTCATTTGTAAAAAACTGTAAGTACATTTTTAAAAAAATATTTTTTTGTTTTAATTTAATTATTGAAAAAAAAAAAAAAATTAAAAACGTCGGCTAACTTTCGTGTTATAAAAATATTTTTTGTTACTTTTGATAAATTAAATAAAATCCAACATCCATGATGATTAATAAAGAAATAAAAATTTTTAATACATTAACAAACCTTGGCAGAGAAATAATATGCAGGAGAGTGAAGCACTTTCTGGATCTCCAAGTGTTTTCTCAGCTAAAAATCATCACTTAACTGCTATTTCTCTACCAGACGATGCCAGATGAGTCGACGGAATTTGGATACTTGTCACCGTTGAGCTGAAAGACATCTTGATAATACCCGCAGCACTGAACACTGAATTAATAACTTATAACTCACTTTTTAATAAATAATAACTTAATATATATTTCACTTGATTATTTTTGATAATTAATTAATTTAAAAAAAATTAAAATAATGAAACTGACATTTAAGTATGCAAGTTAAGAACAAGAGTGGTACGCGACGCGCGGAAGTACGTCTTACCCGTTCAAAAACTGAGTGACTAATGCAGGAACCAACTTGTTCTTCCTCGCTACTGAAATGGCGTGATGCGCGCTTGCCGCGCTCTGATTGGCTGGCTCTTTTCTCTCTCTAATTCTTTTTTAATTAATAAAAATAAAGTTAAAAGTTGAGAAATAAAAAATAATAAAATAAAAATTAATAAAATTTTTATTTAATCAACAAAAATTTTTTAATTTAAGTTTTATTTAATAAAAATTTAATTTTTATAATTTTAAAGAGCGCGCATGCGCAATAGGAAAATCTGCCAAAGCTTAATTTGGAAAGTTAATAAATTTTATTATGAAAAATAAATTTTTTTATAATTAATTACTTAATAATTAATTTTTTTTTTTCAATAAATAAATCAATTAGAGTGTAATAAAATTAAATAGAATGTATTTATGTAAATGACAAGTAATTTTCCTTTATTACCAACACTTTTCATGAAAGTACAGCATTAATGACAATAACCTTTAAATTTGCAGGCTGTGTTTAGTTTATCAGCAAGAGTAGTGTATTTATAAACAAACAATTTGTATATTTATATTTAAAAATGGAGACATTGCTGGAGCAACAGCGTCGTTACCACGAGGAACGTGAACGCCTGATGGATGCAATGGTGAAAGAGCTGCTTCATAAAAAGCCAGGACACCGGGACAATGTTAATTCAGAGCACAGGTTAAAAATGTTGCTCCAACAATATATGGAGTGTGCTATGCAATTACAAGATTTGTACGAGGATAAGGATGGTCAACGTAAAGAAGAAGTGAGTATATTTATTTATTCTAAATAAAAATTATTTTTATTTTATTTTAATAGTATAATCAATGGTTCTAAAAGTTTTGTTCCAGGCAAATGATTTTTCTTATTTCTAATAAATAGCTTTAAAAGTTATTTCTTAATTTATTTCAACAAATAAATTAGTATTTAAAAAAATGAAAATTAGGTTAGCCGACATCTAAAAATTTTTAGAATTTTTATTTTATTGAAAAAATTGTTATAAAAAAGAAAAAACTATTTCATTTGTAAAAAACTTGAAAAAATATAAGTGCAATTTTTCAAAAATGTTTTTTTGTTATAATTTAATAAATGAAAAAAAAAAAAAATAAAAAATTTGAAACGTCGGTTAACTTTAGTATTATTGAAAAAATTATAATTATTTAAAATTATAATCTTTAAAAATCAATTTTAAATATACTACTACACAGAAAGAAAAATTTCTTGACTGGAGAACAAAATTCTTGGCTCAAGAAAATTTTCGGGTGCCTGAAGGAAAACCGAAATTGTGTTGGCCGAAGTAAAAATTTTTCTTGAAATTCTATTCTTGGTGGGTCATTTTTTCTTAATTCTATCATAAATACTTGACACAATACATTTTTATATTTGATCAAGATTTTTAGATACTTTAGGGAAGCAGCGCCACTTGCTTCAGCTAAGAAAAAAATTTTCTTACCTTGAGAAAATTTTTCTCTTGAATATTTGATATCCATTTTATATTATTTTAGCGTGCAATTATACATATTGAATGAAAAAAACGATTGAATATTATTTGATCTTTCCATTTGACATGTTAATCAATAAAAATATTAATGAAAATTTACTTCTATCTTTATATTTAATTTTTTGGAGCAAGAGAGAAATTTTCTCAAGACAAGAAAATTTACTTCTATCAAGAACTAAATTTTTTGGAGCAAGAAGCTGAATTTTCTCAAAACAACAAAATTTTCTTGATTTAAATAAATTTTCTTAGATCAAGATACGTATTTCTTAAAGCAAAAGAACTAATTTCGTTGGAATAAGTAAAATTTCTTGTCAAAAAAAAATTTTTTTTACACAAGAAAATAATTAAGAAGAAAAATACTTTCTTGGCTCAAGTAAACCTTTTTTTCTTTGTACCATTTAAAATTAAATCAGTAATTTTTTATCCAATTAAAAATTAATGCTGCTTTCAGGTTCAAGCTCTGTCAGGTCCAAATGAATTCTCCGAGTTCTACAACCGTCTAAAATCAATAAAAGACTTTTACCGACGTCACCCGAACGAGATCAGCGTTCCAATGTCAGTAGAATTTGAAGAGCTGGCAAAAATGCGAGAGAATCCCACAGAAGAGCTCGCGAACTGGATAGAATTTACCGACGAAGAAGGCTACGGAAAATACCTGGACCTCCACGAGTGCTACGAAAAGTACATTAACTTAAAAGGTATCGAAAAAATTGACTACATCACATACTTATCAACGTTTGACCACTTGTTCGACATCCCCCGGGAGCGTAAAAACGCGGACTACCGTCGTTACTTGGACGCTCTGCTGATTTACCTTTCAGACTACATAGAGCGTATCAAGCCTCTGCATAACTTGAACAACGAGCTTGAGGAGGCTAGAAAAGAATTTGAGGTCCAGTGGGAGCAGAACACATTTCCAGGGTGGCCGAAAGAAACTGGCAGTGCTCTGACCAATGTAGGTGCTCATTTAGATCTTTCAGCGTTTTCTTCCTGGGAAGAATTAGCTTCTCTGGGGCTGGATCGACTCAAGTCAGCGCTGATGGCTTTGGGGTTGAAATGCGGAGGCACTTTAGAGGAACGCGCTCAAAGATTGTTCAGCACCAAAGGCGAGGCTTCGTTGGATCCGAATTTGTTAGCAAAGAGCAAGAATAAAAAAGCGGGCAAAGGCAAAGACATGGCAAAGCAGAAGGAAGTTGCTTCTCTGGAGGCTCAGGTCTATCGCTTGGCTGAGATAGTCTCCACTCAGCGAGTGGCTACCAAGGAAAACGTCCAGCGAAAGCAGGCGAGAACTGAAGGAGAACGCGGAGACTCTGATGCCGAAGCCAGTGCTTCTGAGTCTGAAGAGGAGGACGACAATGAAGTTCCGTATAATCCTAAAAATTTGCCTCTAGGTTGGGACGGAAAGCCCATTCCCTACTGGCTGTACAAATTACATGGGCTGAACATCAGCTACAACTGCGAGATCTGCGGTAACTTCACTTACAAAGGTCCCAAGGCTTTTCAGAGGCACTTTGCTGAGTGGAGACACGCTCACGGTATGAGGTGCCTCGGTATCCCCAACACTGCTCACTTCGCTAACGTTACCCAGATTGAGGACGCTCTTGCACTCTGGGAGAAGCTCAAGGCTCAGAAACAGGCTGAACGATGGCAGCCAGAGCAAGAAGAGGAATTTGAAGATTCACTTGGTAACGTTGTGAATAGAAAAACCTATGAAGATTTAAAACGTCAGGGTCTTTTATAATTATGTATACATTGGATTTAATATTGATCACAGTTATATTAAACTTTTAATAAAATACATTAATGAAAATAAGTTTAAATAATTGTAGTATAAGTATATTAGCTTTTAGTTTACAAAAAAAAATGTTAATCTATACATTTACAAACCTAATTAATTATATTATATTATAATTATTCTTATGTTAATAAATTTGAAATTAAAATTCAGTCAGCCCTTAATTGGGAGGTAGGTATTGATTGTCGTAGGGTGGTAAATTACTTTTCTGACAATCGCATGGTTGATTGGTGTTGCTTCCAAAGTTGAAAGGTTGGCTTTGTTTTGGATATTGGTACTCAGCGGGTGCGAAAGGTCGCGGTTCTTGGGCAGGTACGAAAGGTAACTTGGCTGGCTTGTAAGGTTTTGGCTGTTGAGGTTGTGGGTACTCTGGTTGTTCTGGCTGTTGGGCTGGAGCGTAGGGTTTAGGCTTCTGAGGTTGTTCGTAAGATTGTTCAGGTTGCTGAGGAGCATAAGGTGTTGGATTTGGAGCATAAGGTGTTGGGTTTGGAGGTTGTTCGTAAGATTGTTCAGGTTGTTGGGGCGCGTAGGGTTCAGGGTTTGGAGGCTGTTCGTAAGATTGTTCAGGTTGTTGGGGAGTGTAAGGTTCAGGTTGTTCGTAAGATTGTTGAGGTTGTTCAGGAGTGTAAGGTTCAGGTGTTTGACGTTGTTCATAAGATTGCTGAGGTTGGGATGGTGAGAAAGGTTTAGGTTGCTCGTAGAGTTGTTGAGGTTGTTGGGGTTGTTCGTAGGTTTGTTGGGGTTGTTCGTAGGGTTGTTGAGGTTGTTGGGGCTGTTGAGGAGGAGCGTATGGCTCAGGTTTCTGGGGTTGTTCATAAGATTGCTGAGGTTGAGATGGAGTGTAAGGTTTGGGTTGAACTTCTACTGGCGCAGGTTGTTCCAACATGTATTTCACCCATGGAACATCAATCAGACCGAAAGTAGCCACTTGGTTTGTTGGTAAACATCCGGTATCTTGATTGTAGACTCCTACGAGTTCGTAGGTACCGTCATCGCGCTCACAAGCCAATGGACCTCCGATGTCTACTTGACACATGTTGTTTCTTTGTTGGTGCGCTTTTACGCAGACCAACGAGTCGTCAAGTTCTATTTGGTTTTCCGCGTTTGATACACGTTGCCGGCATTGGTTTTCTTCAATTGTGTCTACTTCGATTGAGTGCATTATTGCTCCCGCTAAGTGAACTGAAAGTTTATTGTTACGAGTTTAATTTTATTATTCAATGAACAAATAAATTTGTTTTATAATTTACTGAAGAAATACATTCATTTTATAAAATGAACTAGGAAATTTATTTTTATGAGGTAATTAAACTTGATAATCTTTTTTTATTATTAAAAAAAAAAATTATGAATTTCAAGAAAAAATTTTTAATTTCTATAAGAAAAATTTTAATTTAAAAGAATGAAATCGAAAAATGAAATTCTCGCTTTTTTCAGTCTTACTATAATTTAATAATTACTATTATGCAAAAAAATATATGAAAGTTTCAATTTCATATTTCTTTGCGCCATTTTGATAAAAAATTAATTTAAAATTAAAATTTTATATTTCTTCGCGCCATTTTAATAAAATATTAAAAGTTAAAGTTTTAATTTCATATTTCTTCCCGCCATTTTAATAAAAAATTAAATAAAAGTAATAAAAAAATATAAACACATAAAAATAACAATAAAAATAAAATTACCTTGCAAAATATGTTTACCCCATCCGGTAGAGATACATTTAGCCCCGGGGCGAACATAAGACTGCTGAACATCTTCCTGCAAGCAAATAGGTCCGACATGTCTGTCGAGATGGACGTCGTGCTCGAGATAGAGAAACGCAACGTCGTGGGCAGCGCTGCCAGGCAAGTAGCCAGGATGTGTCACAATAGCCTTAACTTTGACAATCTCGAACGGCAAAGGTTCTTCGTGTTTCAATTCGTAGCCTAATTTCCATTCTCCGGCTTTGATGGCAATATCGTGCGCCTGGTATCTGGAATAATCAATCTTACGTAAGTCCGGTTGTTCTTTTTCAAGAAAATGTCTTAATAAAAGAGAACTGCGGTATAAATTAATGTATTAACGGGATGCTCTGAATTACAAGAACCAGTACTTATTCTTCTGATATAACATTATATATACATACCCATCGAAACAACGAGCGGCTGTGAGAACGGCATTCGGCGCCACAAATGCTCCCGAACAAAGGAGTTTCTTTTCCGGAGTGTAAAGTATCATTGCTTCCCATGGTATTTCACCGAATCCAACCTCTTCTTCTTTCAAATTGCTTGGTCGTTGTACCTTAACACATTGAATCACCAATTACTCATTGTAAGTACAATATAATCTAATCACAATCGCTAATCACATCTAAAAGCATCTATAGACACTTGACATAACCTAATTATGCTATTAATCATGATGAAACAAAGTATTATTAAGAATTTCAAGTCAAAGCATGTCAAAATAAATTTTTATAAGATTTTATCTGATATTAGAACTAATTAAAATTAATTTAGCTGATATTTAATCATTTTTTTAATAAATAAATTATGGAAAAAAAAATTGACGCGTAGAAATTTTAAGAAAATAAAAATTTAATTTTTTTTAAATTATTTTTCAAAATAAATTTGTTAAAAAAAATAAAAAAAGATCAAGACTGCTTATTTTAATGTCATAAAAATTAGCAGACATTTTTGATTTCTTCAATCAATAAAAATTACAGTAATATTAAAGTTAGTCGACATTGTTAATTTTTTGAGTTTTTTTTTTTAATTATTAAATTAGTGCTAAATAATATTTTAAAAAAATTGCACTTATAGTTTTTAAAGTTCTTTAAAGATGAGTTTTTTTTTATTTTTTTGTTAATAATTTTTAATAAAAAAATGTCATAAAAATTAGCAGACATTTTTGATTTCTTCAATCAATAAAAATTACAGTAATATTAAAGTTAGTCGACATTGTTAATTTTTTGAGTTTTTTTTTTTAATTATTAAATTAGTGCTAAATAATATTTTAAAAAAATTGCACTTATAGTTTTTAAAGTTCTTTAAAGATGAGTTTTTTTTTTATTTTTTTGTAATAATTTTTTAATAAAAAAAATTCTAAAAATTTTTATGTTTGCTAATTTTATTTTCATGATATTAATTAAAAAAAAAAAATTTATTTTGTTTCAACATTATTAATAATTAATAACTTATAAAAATAATTATAATTATGCAACCGCAAAAATCAACAATTGTTTGTGTTCAGGCTTATGTAAAGAAATTACAATTGTTATTGTTTTAAAAAAACTAATTATACATGTAATTGTTTGCTAATCAAGCCTGTTATTTAATTCGATTCTGGTATCATTTGATGATTTAATCCGCTCAATTACGATTACATAATTATAATTATGATAAATATCAGATCTATCTTTGTCTTATAAATTATATTTTTGATACAATTTTTTTTATTCTATTGTCCTTTAATTATATAAAAATAAAAACTGAAAGTTATTATTTAATATTGAGTTAAAACTAGTGTTTTAAGATATATATTTCAGGTATGAAAATATTTTCATTTATCGGAATGTTTCACTGATCTTAAAGTATAATTATTACGGTATAAAATATTCAAAAACTCTTAAAATTCCGAATCGTAAAATTATTTATTAAACAGCATTAACTCTAAAACTCATTTTTCATGTTGATCGCTTCCTTGTTTCAAAATAACTTGTTATTATAAATTTTTCAATCAATTTTTAAGTATAATAACCAATAAAAATGTTAATTTATTTAATCGGATATTTTTTTTTTAAAAGTCAATTATAAAAATTTATTTCTTTTTTTTCAAAACGACGTCTTTCCTTAAATCCATTAAAGTAACTATAAATAAAAAACTAATCAAACTTATCTTGAGTATTGTAAATTAAACTTAAATCCAATTACTTCTAGGACTTAAAAATACCTTAATTACACTAGTCTAACTCAATAAAAAAATATCTAAATAAATTTCGTCATAAAAAAATCTTTATTACCAAAAATAAATTTTATTAATTAGTATTAATAATAACCTTGTAATCTATGAAAAACCTTCAAATCATCTGAAGGATTTAGTCGTAAAAAATCTTTATTAACAAAATTAATTCATTAATAATAATAATAATAATCTATCCTAAGTGAGTAAAACTAAAAAAATAGTGTAAAATGTTGAATTAACTAATTTCCATGATAAAACAATTTTCTAAAGAACCGAGGTAGAGATAGTAGAGATAGATTAATGGCATTGACCACTTACTGAGTTTTTAACACCGCAAGATCCGGCTGGTCGAGGTTGAACAACAACGGGGTTTGCGTTACTGGGTGATTCTACGAAATTGTTCTTATTGAAAGGTTTTGGGTAGGTCGGATAGTTTGGTACATTCGGGCGGATGATCGAGGGCTGTTGGTTGATGTTTTGAGGAATGGCATTTGGAACAGGAGCCTGGACATTTTTTATTGGAATTCTTCCCTTGACCGGCAAAGAAGGAGCTGGACGTTTGACCCCAATCGGAGAGGTGGGAATTGGCCTGGGGTCGTTCAAAGGGAATCCTTGGTCGTCGAATCCTCCGGAGTAGTTGGCTGGCAAGTTGCCCGTAGGCCATGGGTCAACGTAGTTCGGGTCCCGGCAGCATTTTCCAATTTCTCCGTTTTCTGGGTTCTTGCAGTCCTGGGTAATTCAACAGGTTATGGGTATTAGTTATTGGTCATGATGAGTATAATCGGGTGATTTATCACTCTTAATTTATGCTAACTACTGGAGATATTACCAGTTGTGGGCGGGATTCTTTAGATTTAAGTGTAAATTTAATAGAAGAAATCGACAAGGTGATATAATATTCAAATGAAATATTTACGAGTAGGGTAATTATTAGAAAGTAAATATAAATTTATTTAATAATTATTTAACTTACGCTCAAAGGTACACGGCGTGTGAGTTGTTCTTCAGTTAAACCCAATGGTGAGGGATTCATCATACCGTCCATACCACAGAATTCTTCTTTGACGCAAACCAATGCTGCTGCGCAACCCAATTGAACGTGAGTTGGAACTGGAACTGGTTCTGAGTTTCTTGGAACTGGTGGAGCTGTTGGTCTTTGAGTAGTTACTCTTGGTTTTGGAGCTAGAAAAGAAAAAAAAATAATTTTGTGAAAATGTTTGTTTGATTTAAGGGGGAAATACGTGTAGTTTAAAAGAATTAAACAACAATATAAGTTAACAAATAACGGAGATATCAGCTGATACACATCGTAGGTTGTCATCTGACTTAACAGTCTGTGTGCAGTATGGAGCCACAATTTTTATTTGAAATCAATGGCACAGAAAAATTATTTCATTTATATGGGTATCTTCCATATGAACCTCAATTCCAAAAAAAAAAGTAAAAAGTAAAAATTTGGATTTTTTAGAGGGTTGTGAAATTCGTGAATTTTCACCACTTTTTCATACACGGAAAAAAGAAAACTCGAAAAATTATAGTATAAAATGTAAAATCGGTCCCGTCGTTGTAAAAACTAGAAAAATTACAGTTTGAAATAACATTTTTCTAAATTCAATTTTTTAATTTAATATTCAGAGCTTGTAATGTAAATATTACATTCTACAATGTAATTCTTATAATTTTTCGAGTTTTCTTTTTTCCGTGTACATTGTTTATTAAAAAAAAAAAAAAAAAAATAGTTTAAATAAAAATATCGCTTTCGATTGAGGTTCATATTTAAGGTAATTGTATAAAGAAAATTATAAGCCATATCGCAAGATGATTGGTTTAAAAATTTTTGAGCTAGACTGCACACAGTTTTGAAAAATCTCGTTTAAATAAAACGCGTTCGAAAAGAAAGTTAATGCAAAATAGTATTAAAGTAATTACTAACTCGCTTATAACTTTTGAACGAATAGGAAATTTTACTTGAAATTTTAAATCCATATTTTTGAATAGTTTTACAAGTGATTTATAAAAAAAAATTGAATTTTTTTAAGCCTGTATTGAAGAAAATATTGTGGAATTAAAATAAAATACTAACTCGTTGGTAAATTAGTAAACCTTGGAATTGGATCGTTAGGGTTTGGACTTGGATCAGGTGGTAAATATCCATTGATAGCATCACCATTGATAGGCTTGCTAGGTTTCTCGTATTTTTGGTCGAAAAGTCCGCCAGTGAAGCCATCAGATCCGGCATTGGAATTTACATTGACATTGATTGACTGTAAACCATCAGTACCTGCTGGGACTTGGTCGTAGTTATACGACATAGTACAGCAGACTTCGCGACTTACGTCGCATTTTTGGTTCTGTAATTAATATTTAAAAAAAAAAATGTAAACTCATTAATTTAATTAAGCAAATCAACTTCTCAAACTCCGACATTTACTGACAAAAATTTAATTTTCTTTTGCATATTAATATAATTTATCAAAAAATTAATAAAAAAAAAATTAATTAAAGCTCTATCCTCCATAAATCAGAGGTTGATCTCGACAAAATAAATTAACAACAATTGATTTGAATAATTTATTTATTTAGAATTTATTGAGCAAATCTAAAAGTTCAAGGCACCTTGTATTGACTTTAAAGTTATTTAATTCACGCGTATACACTTATTTATTTATTTATTTATTTAAATATATTAGTACTCGGATATTCGTATACTCGTTTATCATAAATAACTGCGTAATTTAGTCCATAGTGCGGGTGATTTTTATTTTTATTTATATTTTATGTCAGAAAAGATATTACAGATACCGCGCGGGTGACATAACATCACTTTCGCCGATCTATCACACTTGCACGAGAGGGAAATATATACTTATAAACATAAATAACAAATAAGAAGAAGCAAGTAATCAGGACCTATAAAAATCCGATGTATAGGTGTGTAAATTGTCGTACGATGTATGCTCGTAACAAACTCTCTTCAATTTCAATTTAAATTTGAATTTCAATTCATCTGTCTTCTCTTTATATCATATATCTTCCCCTTTCAATTTTTTTCCGATCGATTATACTATAATTCACTTTGTAAAGAAGTGTCAATTGTACTTATCGTTATATCATGCAGTGAGCTTTGTCAAATAAATGCAAGTCACTTTTTATTTTTTTTTTTTTTTTTTTTTATAATTTTATGTCATTTATCCGGGTGAAAATGTATTATTATTATTATTATTTTGTAAATTTTTATAATTTAATGTTGTATAAAAATTTTATCAAAAATTAAAAGAAAGAATCGATTTTTTTAAATATTTTTTTTTAGTTAAAAATATTTTTAAAATTTTTAAATTAGCAAAAAAGAAAAATTGTAATTATTTAATTTTTTACAAAAAAAATTATAACTTATTATTGTTATTATTATTACGTTGTAAATTTTTATAAGCTAGTGTTGTATAAAAATTAAAATTTTCTGAATTCTATCAAAAATTAAAAGAAAAAATCAATTTTATTTTAATTTTTTTTTTTTTAGTTAAAAATATTAAAAAAATTTTTAAATTAGCAAAGAAGAAAAATTTTAATTATTTATTTTTTTTGTAAACAATTGTAATTTATTATTATTATTATTATTATTATTATTATTATTATTATTATTAAAAATAATAACAATTATTATTAAGTGATAAATAAAAGTCAGACATAGGAAGCGATAAATAATAAAGAAGATAATTAATATTATTGATGAGTTGACGAGAGTGTGCTGGAATGGTCTTAATACTTTAAATTAAAAACTTTCAAAATTGGGAAATCCCGGCCTTGGATTTAAAAACTCACAATTACAGCCATAGAAAATATAAATAATAAAAAAAGTAAAATAAAAAAGAAATCGTTGTCGGGATTAAATTATAGAGATTAGAAGAGTCGATCTCATATACGTAAAGACGGACAGTACTTTTATAGACAGATTAAGTAAAACGGCCTTTTAAGCCAAACGTTGTACATCAATCGAATAAATAAGTTTATCTAGGCTGTACTGATGATAGAACTCGAGTGATTAATAATCCTGGGGATCCCGATTAAATTCCTGTTATTAAATTATTATAGTAATTATGTTCAGTAGAGATGGATGGATCGATGAAAAATTGTTGGACTGGTTATTAAGTAAATAAATAATATTTTATGTACACATCGATCGTCTGTTATCCAGTGAAATTTTAAAGTGGGTATTAAACCGTGTGAAAGTTTAATGCCCACCCTCGTTACGCGGGGCATTCGATTGTGCAATACGTTTATAACTTTTTAAATTATCTGATATTAAGTGATGATCTAATGGGTGATTTTTATATTTATTTTTAACATTCCGGGTTATTATTTATTAATTATTAAATATTTTTAACAAGATATTTTAATGCGTAAAAATTTTCTCCTGTTAAAAAATTTTTACTTTATAAATATTCATTTAAATAAATATAAATTTAAGTGTGATATTTATTACTATACACAATTATGACATTAGTTATTTGAAAGGAATTTTTTTCCATCATAAAAATCAAACCCAGTAATTTCTTTAACGAGCCATAAAAATAAAAAGTTTACCAAAAGACATACTTGACATTGAAAAAAAAAAAATGAAATAAAAAAAACTAAATTACAAAATAGCAATAAAAAGTTTAATAAAAGTAATACTTATATCTGTTGAGATATAATCCGTCAAATCAAAAGCTGCTTCTCCAAAGATTTATAGTCTCAGAAAATAATTACATATATTACTATAAATTATAAATTATATATAAAACTGATTGTTTACGACACCAGTAATTATGATTAACGATTACGTGATTCTATAAATTAAAGGAATAAATAAAAGTTAAATAATACTTGTAATAATTTGCAGCCTTTATATCATAATATGCTTTATGCTTTCAGTGAACCCGCGGAAGTGAAGGAGCTATTAATTACACCGAAAAATAAAATAATAATCATCAAATTAACTTACGTCTGAACGAACTTGGGAGAGTCCTTGCACATTTGAGCTGACGCGCCCGTTCTTACAGAGGTGATGGGGAACACAGATTTGACCCTCGCCGCTGCAGGTCACTTCAAATCCGTTGGAGCTTTGCTGGTCAAGGAAGACGTTGTTCTTCGACGCCGTGGATACGTGAGGTAACTAATTAAAAATTTATTTATTTTTCAAAATTAATTTTTTTTTAATTTTTTAAAAATTGTTTTTTTTTTTATTTTTAAAAATTTTTTTTTAATTATTTCTTAAAAATAATTTTTTTTTTATTTTTTAAAAATGATTTTTTTTTAATTTATTAAAATTTTTTTAAAATTATTTCTTAAAAATTATTTTTTAAAAATTATTTTACCCAAAATTCTAATTATTTTTTTTTTTTCACTATTATTTATTTTTTTTATCAAAATAAAAAAATAAAAATTTACCTGGATATCATGAGACGGAACTTGGCCGGTTGTATGAGCTGTTGCATGAGCATGAGCACCAGCTTGGGAGTTTCCATTCAAAAATGGGTTTGCTCTGAAATGAGCATCTGCACTAGCACTGGCGTGAGCATTAGCGTTTGCGTTAGCATTAGCGTTAGCATGAGCGTTGGCATTAGCGCCTGATTTGTGACCCTCAAAGGGGCTGTTGGGGCCCATCCACCACTTTTCAGAATTTCCAACCCCGTGGCCGGACTTGTCCTCGGTCTGTTGGTCCAGGAACTGAAACTGGTCGGTATTTTGTTGCTCGAATCCTTGGGTGTATGCATTTGATTTTGAAAATGCATTTGCACCACTCGAGGAACCGGAGTACGCGGTTGCGGAAGACTGGGCTGATGCTGAAGCTGAAGAACTCGCGGAAGCATGGCCAAACGTGTTCTTTTGCAGCCGTTGCCCGTAGCCGTCATCAGAAATCTTCGAGTACGGGCTCGCGGTTACACTGGCGAGCGCCAAGCAAAGTAGGAACATTCTTCGTTTCATTTTTCGGAGTTACCTTTGAAGAAATTTTAATTTTTATTAATTTTTGGAATGATTTTTTTTTATTGAAATTATGATGAAATTTTTTGTAAAATTTCATTAATTTTTTAGTAAAAATTTTTATTTTAAAATTTAGTAAAAAATTATTTTTTACTAGTAAAATAAAAATTTTAATATTTTTTAAAATATTCCATTAAAAATTCACTAAAAAATTTTTTTTTTTAACTTTTAAAAATCACTTTAACAAAAAACTTGAAATAAATTTTTCAAAAAAAAATTTCATCATAAAATGAAAAAATCCCATTGGCAAAAAACTATCATTCAAACAACCAAAACAAACCAATCAACATCGGAATTTATCAATATCAATAAATAAAAAAAAAAATAAATAAAAATAAAAACAAAAGTGTAATCACAAACAGGTCTCTAGCCACATGAGTACAAGCAGTACACCTTCAACTTGAACGTGACTACAATCACTCGTTACATCAGTCTAGACATAAAAAGACTATATAATAAATAATATATATATTATATATTCTTCACATCATTACATATCACACACTGTCACTCAGCTTGTTCACTGGCCAATGATAAAATCAGATTGAAAAAAAAAAAAAAAAAAAAATAATTAAAACGGTGATCAGATCTCTACTCACCTGACGTGTTTCCCTTAAAATCGGAACCACGTACTTGATTCTTAGAGAGAGTTCGTTTGACTGGCGACTCCTCCACATTGCGGGTTCTCTTATACCATAATCCTCCTCTTGATGCGTTGATCTCCCCACCTGCAACCTCGAAAAGATTTCATGGCATCCTTTACTTAGACCGTCGCCAGATCGGATAATCGAATCGAATTTTATCGAATCACGTATGTGTATTTGTATAAAGCTAAAGATGCTACATTCTCAATTCGAAGCTGTCCTTCGCTCGATCTTGGATTCTATTTAATTATAGAAGTTAGAAGAGGAAAAAAAATAGTAAACGATTCTATCCATCCACAGTATTCATATCTCCTATCTTCTATTCCAAATTTAATACATTATTTAAATCAAAATAACATCGATTGCTTAAATAAAATAAAAGTGTCTGCTCTCTACTTTGATCGAATAAGTTTGCTTTCGATTTTTACCGCTTGCTTCACTTCTGAGGTTTTATTTAATTAATAATTAATTTTTCCAGTGAACATCTCTTCTCTAGTTTAGCATTCTCATTAGTCATTTATGGGATTAAATAATATAAATATATATATTCCTGAGATTTAAAACGCAACCTTGAGCACAACCTGGTTCAACCTGGACCTGGAGGCTCGTTACCATTACATCAATAAATGTATATAAAACTGAATATATTAACGACAATCTAATTATCATTGACTTTTATTTTGTTAAAAAGTATAAACATATTAAAAAATATACGCATTTATGTTTTTTGTATATAAGAGTGCATGCTGGTAATTTTTATGTAATTATTCATGTTCCCGAAAAACACGCATTTTATTATTGAAATTAATTTAGGAATTTACTTTTCGAAATTCTTACACCCAATTACATTACTATTTTAATATTTTAATAATTACCGTCTGCTTATTTATATTACTTAATCGTGATTCAAGTGATTAAGATTTTAAGATACGGGTTTTATTGTTTTAAAGATTTTACCCTTGAATTTTTTTCATTTGGTTAAAGTGTAATTATATTTTTTTGCAAGTACGAGTTTTTTCGGCAAATTTTTGTTAGATTGAGACAACGGTGTTGAAAGAATATTTTATTTTTTGTTTTTTGAGTTAATGATTTATTGAGTATTGGTAATAGCAGTGACACGATTCGAGAAAAAATTTATTTATGCTGGAAACAGAGTTTTGGGTTTAAGTGACCAGAGGGACATTTTTTCTTTTTGGTACGGAGTTCTCGGAAGGTTTTTTGTGTTGGAAGTTATAAATTTTGTTGGTATTCAGTCGAAAATTTTTTAAATTGGGAATTATAGTATTTAAGGGATATTTTTTGATTTGTATTTAAAAAAAAAAAACTTTTGAAAAATTAGAGAATTTTGTATCAAAAAAAAATTGAAAGGATTTTTTTTATTGGCAAAAACAACAAAAGAAGTCAAAGTCTATTAATTTTTATAATTATCAATTAGGAAATTATTTTACATAGATATAATTGTGCTTTTTATCAATTATGATCTTAATGTTCATTATTCTTAAAAAGAAAATTTTGAAATAAGTTTTTCTTCTTATTTTTTATTACTTTTTTAAAAATTATTCTACTTAAAATCATAAAAATTATTATTTTTTTAATTTTAAATAAAAATATATATAAAGTGATTTAAAAAATTTTTTTTAGATTATAAATTACCAAAAATTAATTTTTTACTTAAAAATTCATACCATTACAATCATAAAATTATTATTCTCTCACTTTTAGATCAGAAATAAAAAATTGATCTAAAAAAAAAAAATCAGGACCATAAATTATAAATTTTTCTCATTTTTTATTTAATCTAATTTATTTCTTTATTTATTTATTTATTTCTTTTTATACAACCCAACAGCCAGAAGGCCAATAACAGGGTCTCTAAATAAGTTTATACAAATTACATATAGTATAACTTAAAACTAAGTGCACTGTACTGGTAGTGTTTACAAAAGAAAAGTAATAGAACAAAAAAAAAAACAAAAAAAAAAAGAAAATACTGAAATTTTTACAGATCTAAAATAACTATAATATAATAATAATTATAATATATAAAAATTAACTAATGATGTTTAACTAAAGATATAAGGGATATATTGAAAGTGAGATTAATATTTTACTAGTTTGAATATGAACATGATTATTAATTTGATTTGGTTATTTGTTATCTGCAGATAACACTGAAAAAAAAATTAACTTTAATCAAGAGAAAAATTCTTGAACCAAGAATATAATTTTGAAGAGAGTAATTGTCTTGAATCAAGACGAAAAATTCTTGAATCAAGTAAAATTTCCTTAAATCAAGAATTTTTATACTCAAATCAAGAATATTAAGTTCTTCAAAATTATATACTTAATTCAATAACATTTTTTTTTCTGTGTGAGAGATTAGATAATTTCAAACAATTTTTCCCAAAAAATCGATCTTAAAATTCTTCCTATTACTAAAAAAAAAAAAAAAAAATTAATACTTCCTAAAATCTAAAACATATAATTAAAACAATTTTGATAAAAAACCTATAAAAAAATGTTTAAAACTCCGAAAGAAAGCGGATCTGGGGCCATAAAACTCTAATTTGCAAACTTGTAAAATCCTCACTGAAAAAGCTAGTAAAAAAAAATAAAAAATAAAAAAAACAATCCTCATACGTATTGCGGAAATCTCAGGCTTCGACTATTTACAAGTTTTAGCAAAAAACAGTAACGCAATCAGTGGAGAAATCTCATCCGGAACTAGCCAGTCAAGGGTTTAACAAACGTCCACAAAGAACAATGATGCGGTGTTCGCGTTCCGATGACTCCATTCCATCCAGTCCAAATGTAATGTAATGAAATGTGTACTGCAATGTTATATAGTGTAATATAACACTACAATTTACAATTAAAGGAGTCAAGGACACCCCGGTTGAGGATTCATACTAAATAAACGCATACTCTACATGTAATAATATCCGATCGAAGATTCTCTTCGAGGTCCAGCCGAACAATGGATCCGTTTGCTCAACAATTATTTTCATATTCATATTCTCGATTTATAAATGTTTTTTTTCTACAATCAAACAAACCATAAAGGATCAATTATCTTGAAGCGAGCGTGCCGGCGACAATTGATTTATATTTAAATAATTATTCTTCTTCTTTTTCTTCTTATTCATTTAAATTAATGTTACGTGTGTAATAAATGAAACCGCAGTTAAGTCTAGGTGAGTTCACCAATGCAGATCGGGAATCGAGTGTTATATTAGCATCTTATCTCCTTAGATGTAACAATTAGATCCGCATGACGCAATCGCCGTCATAATGTCTCCCACACTGGGATTTAAATCAAAAGTTTAAAAAAAGATAACCGATGTAATGAAATAAAAATAATTAAACGCTTTTGTTCATCTTGAGCTCTACTCGTGATGTTGATGCTTGAAGAATTTTAGAGTGTGGGCCGACAAAAACCTTGGCGGGCTTACCCACGTACCTCTTACATTTCTTCGCTTCATATTATGCTATTTTGCGGTGACTCTTTACCAATAGTGATTCACTCTTTAATCAATGACGTCGACGCAATGTCATCGAGATGACATGCGGGATTTACTAATTGTTAATTTATATTTATAGATATATATGTATTAAGTACTAATGTAGATGCCCGGTGGATATAAATCATATCGATGCAATCGATGACTAGTTCTCTGCTCGCCTCAATCCCGAGTTTCAACCATTCAATTGAAACTGTGGTATAGTAGGAATAATATGTGAATAGAATCAAAAGATTCTCGAGAAGTTTATTTTGTTGTTTTGTTCAGTATCTGTGTCAATTATTGTTGAGATCTTGTGCTAGGTATTGGATGTTACTTTTTTTTTTTTATATTTTAATGCAAGGACGAAAAGAGATCCGCATTGAAGATTTTTTTATTGCTTGTTTCATTTCTTGGTTGTATGGAGGAATTTTTTAGATTTATGGATTTTTTTTTGTTGAGGAAGAATTTAATAATTGTACTTTGTTTAGAGAATTTTTATTTTGTAAAAATTTTTTTAAATTAAAGTTTGGCTTTGAATTTTTAAAGGAATTAATTTTTTAAATTAGTTACTTTTTTTTTGCTGAGATAAAAATTTTTGGTGATCAAAAACTTGGAAAAAAAATTTAATTTTGATAAATTTTAAATATATTTCTAATTGATTTTTATTTTTATCAATCCTTAGATTTATTAAGATTTTTTTTTAATTTTATCAAGAAATATTTTTTTCTAATAAAAAATAAAAAACTTGTGATGAAGTGTAGCTTTTTTTTGTTGAGGGAGAATTTTAAAATTGTTT